TTGGTTATAAAACTTCACTATCAGCCTTTAGCTGTAAATGCGTACGCGCCAGTGTCAATAATTATATGTGCAAATGTCAATCATTCACACGTCTGTTCACAGCTCATTTACTTATCAATGTGGGTCCAGTAACATATATACAGCCACTATAGTCACTTTACAGTTGGTCAATGGAAGAGAAAACAGGCTGTTTGTGTGGTAGCTCACAAATGACTCTGCAGATAAATACTGATACGGTGCCACATATTACAACATTTATCTGTCTGTAAATTGGATTAAATGGACATAATATAGAGAGGCTAAGCTTTATAATGAGGTATAACATGCCCACCTGGACTATCGGCCCATATCAGTAAGATTTTGGCCGATAGCCAACCGATATATTGGTCGGGCCCTAATAAGTACACTACAGTCAGTTTTGGACAACATTTTTCATTTATGTCTTTATGTCCATAATTATTTACATTGTAGATTCTCACTGAAGGCATCAAAAATATGAATAGACACATGTGGAATGTAACAAAGAAATGAACTCAAATTAACTGGTTTTAGAGTAAAGAATATATAAAAATTGCCTCTCTTTGCTTTTTAACCTCTTGTTTGCATTTTTGGCATTTCTTGACCCCGACAAGGCACAGTTGTAAAGTGAAAATCATTTCACGGACTTCTTCAAGAAGCTCAAATAGAAAAGGCCAACTATCTGCAACATTGTCCACAAAGCAAAAGGTGGCCACTTTTGAGGTTTTGAAATATAAAATATTTAAAAACTTATTATTTGGAGTTATTTTCCTTTTGCCCTTTACTACATAATTTCAGTACAAAGATATTAACTTGACTTTGATGCGGCACAGTAGTCCTACAATACTTGAGATAAATAAAGTAAAAATCTGGAAAGTGTCTAAATGCGGTTAGTAAGTCCTGAACACTAAGCCTAAAGACCACAGATACGTCTTTGTAACAGCACCTGGAGTGACAATAGAAAAATCATGCTGAGCTTTAAAATGAAGTGCAATGATTTCACGTCTTTATTGTCCCAAAATGATCGATGTGGAGAATTTATTTGTACCGCTGGCCCTAAACACATCAGATTAGTATCATATTTCACCAGATGCCAGGCCCGGACCAGTATTTTATCTGTCCTCTCACCTTTACATTTGCACTGAGCTGAGGTATGGAGCGTGCTAGAGCAGTTCACCTTAACCCACTCACTCAAACAGCTCAAATCTGAAATAAACGTAATTGAACGACGTGAGGGAGGTCAGTGAAGGCAGCCGAGCGAGACACAAATGGACTTAGAAAAACACAGCACAGCATTAAACTTTCCTATAGCCCCATGGGAACAAGGAGGTGATGCTAGGCCAAATTACAAGTCAGATCTGTGGAGTGGTGTGTCTAGTCACTGTTGGGGATGCATCAGTCCAGCTTTGTCAGTTATGATACTGATTCCGATACTACAGCTTTAAGTATTTGCTGTTACACAATATGAACTGATACCAGTGCAGAGACTGAAAACAGCATTTATTTCCTTCAAACTAAAATAAAATAAGACTGAACTGATCCAGATGTGTTATGTTGCTGTATTTAACAGTTTTGAGACTTTCTGGACCAAATACAACTAGTAAATTGTGTTTACATTAATTTATATGTCCAACCACGATATCGGCAGAAGCGATATTTGGAAGCTGATGTCTGATCCTGCAAATTGTTCAATATGAGTGCTGATATCAGATACCAGTGTCGGATTGGTGCATCCCTGGTCACAGTAAGAATACATGTTTTGAGACATAAAAACATATGTTATGATATGTTTAAAAACACTGTACTTGATTTTTTTTTTTTCTGTCCTAAATGTGAAAAACAGAACTAGTTCATTTTGCTAAGATCCAAAATTATTTTTCACTTAGCTTATACCAGGGATCATCAAATTAAGGCTTTGATCCGCCATGTCCTTTGGCCGGCCCCCCAGCCCCTCTGCCCCTCACCACTTGAACTGGCCCTATGAGACAATCCTCAAAAGTTGTCTTGGCCGATTTAAAAAAAAAAAAAACTTAACATGTCTGCATCTTGTAATTTTTATTTATTTTTTCAATGTAAAATATGATATTTATGTGACATATTTACATTTGCTGCAGAATTTGCAGCTGAATTTTTGTCATCTGACAAGCTCGAGATCAAACTGTGACAGTCAACGCATGTGCAGTTAAGGACAGCAAAATGGCGAGTGTTAAAGTATGAAAAGTTGACAGAGTGCAGAGTTTTCAAAGAACAGTGGACGACTGATTTATTTATTTTTGTTCAGTGTAAGGACCATGCAGTTTGTGTGAAATGTAAAGAAAGTGTGGCTGTATTCAAAGAATGTAATTTGCGTCGTCACTACGAAACCCACCACAAAGAGTATGCTAGCTTGCGAGGGTAAACGAGAGAAGATAGGATTCGCCGGATGAAAGGCAGACTCTCTGCTCAACAGCATGTGTTCCTTCATCGCCAACCTGACCCTGGCCCCCCATCACAGTCAGGAAACATAATGTGGCTCCCAAAGAAAAAAGTTTGGTGACCCCTGCCTTATGCATTCCATGCATCCTAACCTTGAGTTCACCTTGACTTTATCAGCACTTTTCACACTTTTTAGAGACCAGAGATTAAACAGCACATAGTGGACATTTTTTGACCTCATCTGTACTGAGGAAAGGCAAATGTTCCTCAAATACATGGGGGAAGGACTTTTAATGCCGTACTGTGGAACATTTCCAACAAAGCCCCAACACTTCATGAATATATCAGCTTGAGTACATGGAGCACCTTTTAATACAAGATAACTATTCATTTAGCAGCGTACAAGCCGTGAATACAATGTGTTGTGTGCATGTAATTAAAAGGGTCTCTAATGTATTAAAACATTACATAATCCATGGCTAGCCTTTAAACCTATAGGATGAGTTGGCAGCTCTACACAAATGTGGGTGGACTGAATTAACAAGACCATATAAGACGGTATTGGCAGACACATTTAGTACAATGAAAGAAAGTACATTTGAGAAATATATTGCAAGTCTATAGATCCTTTCACTCCCACTGGTATGTCCATTAAAAACTAGAATCTCAACTGGAATTACCTTCTCGATGGGGCTTTATGCTTAAAAAATGGTGCTGCATTTCATCCTTGTGCCAAAACTCTGTCACAGTAAAAGAAAACGCTTTAATAAAATACCTTGCAACTTCTGTGTGTGTGTGTGTGTGTGTTCCCCTCACAATTCACTTCTTCTTGAGTCAATATCCGATGTAGTCCATTTTTCATGGTTGGTCAACAGGGGGCACAAAGACTTCTAAAGAAAACTCACTTACACGCACATGCTTATTTCAATTGTGCTGAAATTTGAATAACTTCTACACTGGATGATCCTGATTACATTGATATGGCAAACACAATGATCAATGCTAGAGCGCTACCTATAGGAATGCATAAAATTTACAATGGCGAGAAAAAAAGTACTTTGACATTAATTTGTGAAACACTGCAGCAAATTTGTGAATGTGTCCTTGATTAGAAAATGTGCCCTATTTTGAACAATTTTGCCTCTAGGGTCCTCTAAAAATGTCTCTCCCCACTGGTATGTTCATTAAAAACTAGAATCTCAACAGGAATTACCTTCTCGGTGGGGGTTTATGCTTTAAAGGGCCCATATTAGGCAATTTTCTGACCATTTTATAATGTTTCCTCATTAAAAACATAACAGGAGTTGTGTTTTGTTTCATTCACACATTTAAACACACAATCCCGGCATATTTAGGCCGGGTTTTTCCTCGCTGTTCCACCTTTTGATGTCATGTGGTAATACAGGAAGTGCTTCACAGTATTTTTCAACTGCATACACCGTCACTAGAATCATTTGGATGATTTCAGCCCTGGAATTGCCAATCTCTACCGAACAAAAGATAAAATGTAGCTGTTAAATGTAGCTTGAAAACTACTGCTACGTGACTAGGGCTGGGTATCATAAAGAAGTTGCAGATACGATACATACCTTGATACATGGACTACGATACAATACATACCGCAATAGAGTGAGCTTTTGATTTGATATATTTCAAATCGATTCGATATGGTTCATTAAAAAATAAATTCTATGTCATGGCTGCGATACTAAAAGTCTTTGTTAAACCACTTTTTGTGCAAAGTGTATATGAAACACAAACATTTTAATCATCAAAACAGTGAAAATGTCAAATGTGTTGCATTAAAAAAGTTTCCTTCCACCAAACAAGCAACAAAACTGTAGTGCTGTAACAAAATAATTTAGTAAAATATACCAAAAAATACTCAGTGTCAATATTTTGATATTTTGGCACAACCCTATTTGTGACATCGCAAGGTGGAATGGAACATTTTGATCTTTGGAGCTGTGAACAGGATTACTCAAACATGAATGAAACAAAACAGAACTCCAGGTATGTTTTTGAGATAACAACATTGTAACATGGCTTAAAGCGCACAAGAGTCAGATGGGTGTAATATAGGACCTTTAAAAACGATGCGTTGTTTCTTCCTCGTGCCAAAACTCTGTCACAGTAAAAGAAAACGCTTTAATAAAATACCTTGCAGCTTCTTTCACTGTGTGTGTGTTCCCCTCACAATTCATCTCTCTGTTTCTTGAGTCAATATCCGATGTGAGATAAAAAGACCAAGATTGCTTTGGGCAGGTACCGCTCCTTCAAAACTGAGCAATACTATTTTAGGGAAGAGTATGAAATCTTAATTAAGCCGCTATGTTGTTTACCAATCAGCTCCCCTTCAAGACAGAAAAAACGTGTAGCCTAGTCTCTGAGCCAACTCCTAAATTACATTAGATTAGCCATTTTGTGTATACTTCCTCGGAGGTGCAGGCAGTGAAAAAATCAATAGACCTTAAATTTCTTCTAGACACCTGGCACCACTATGAATCTAAATGGTGAAAAGGTTGATCTTGATTGGCTAACTTGTCTCTTTTGTATTCTCGTTACAGCGTACAGCACTTTCTACATTGTGGGCCTGGTACTGTCAATGCAGATCCCCTTCGTCGGGTTCCAGCCAATCAGGACGAGCGAGCACATGGCAGCGGCTGGTAAGTCCCGCCCACTCCCTGCCAACTACATTACACGCATCATATTTTTTCTCTTATAGGGAAAGACAGATAATTTTGTCCACTTTGAAGGTTCTGAAGGAGATGTTAAGAGGAAACTAGAAGCAAAGGAGGGATAATTTAACATACCAAATCAAATGATGGTAGTTTTGAAAGCCAGATTTTTGCACAAATGTTTAGTTGCAATGACAATTTTTGATTTGGTGCTCTAAAAATTCCTGAATTTAATTTCCTAAGACATAAATAAACTAACATTCTTTGTGTTGTTCAAGATAGAGCAAGTTAGAAGATGTAAGATTTGAGATCTAGAATCATCAACATAAGAACACCAACTTCTTATGCTTATGCAGATTTATTAAAGGTGCAATATGTAACTTTTTTGCTTGGTGGTCCGTCACTTGCTTGTTGACTAAGGATATTGCTCTGCCTGGAACGTTCCACAGTATGACATTAAACATCTCTACCTTACATTTTTCCAATTACAGGTGGTTTTAGAGCTCAAAAATACCTAGAAAAACAGACATTCTAACTGCAATTGGGGTTCCCCCTCCACAGATCTGACCTGTAACTTGGTCTGGTTAGATTTTCTTGAAGATAGAACAGTTTAAGTAGCCTGATTCATAAGCTGGTTTAACTTCGTAGAAACCGTCTGACCGCATTGTTAGAATTCTTTTGCTCGGTGGTAGCTGGCTACTTTTTTTCATTTAACCAATCGCTGCTATTTGGTCGTGACCATTAAGCTTTTCTCAATTCCTGTAGGAAGAAGGGCAATAATGTCTTTCACTGAACATTCTCTTTGTTACGGCTTTAAATCGTCAGGAATCGTTACCAAAACAGAATGTATGGCTTTTCGTTGAATGACTGGTGCCCGAACTCGCATTTCCAGCATTTTTGCGAACCGTCAAGTGTATTCCGATTCCTGACCTAGTCGCTGGAGAGAAATTAAATTGAGCGGAGGCACTAGGCGGCGCCAGCCTGGCTTAAATAACATCTCCACTGAGTAAAGCATTTGTCGGACCCTCCACCAGAAAAGTTACACAATGCACCTTTGAAATATGGGACAGTTCACATTAATCAACATGTTAGTGAAATTAGACAATGCTGAAAGTACACACAGTACACACGTTAAAAACAAAAATCACAATCTCACAACGGCAGAGACATTTCCTATGTAATATTAAAAGACATACAGATTAGTCCATGTTATGTTCACATGTCTGATTGTCGAGAAGATCTACTAAAGCTACGGATGGAGGTCATGTTCCTTAGTTCTGTGGGGACCAGATTCCAGGCGTGTGCCGAGTGAGTGAAAAGGCTGAAAATGAAGTCTTTCTAAATGGGATTTCACAGTCTCCTCCCAGTTTCATTTAGTGTAAGCTTTAGATATTTTATCGTTTGCTTAAAGCGTATTACATCCGCCATTCATCTGCTTAATGTCTGATCTAAATATACTCCCCATTTGATTAATCCACTTAATCGCCATAACATGATGCTTTTCCTAATTGAAGTTTTTAACCTTTTTCTGCAGTGAAATTGCATCCACCTCTTCTTCCACTGCCTCCATAGATGGCAGTGCTAGTTGGTAATCATAGCAGGAGTTTAACAGCTTAAGTGAGAGATTTCTCCTTCAAGGGCAGAGCTTAAAGAAGAGTAAATATTGGACTTCCCCAGGTGGCCCAAAAACCACAGTCGAATCACACACTACTTTGTTCAGGCCTAGAGGCAATTTCTGAATAGGCTTTATAATATATCACCACGTATATTCAATGCAGTGATGTGTTTACAGCTGGTTTTCCACCGTTTTATCATTTGTAAATTTATGAGGATGATTTAAATGTAAAGAGACATTTCATTACAGAGTGTGGTTCAGATGTGTAGGATTATAGGGCTGTAAAATGGGGCTGCACTAGACTAGTATTTGAAATGTGTTCCTATAATTTTGTTGTCCTTCACCTGACAGACTGTGTACTGTAATCAGCGTACCTGATGGAATCCTCAGCATAGTTTAAAGGGGCTCTACACAATAAATTTTTCCATTTAATAGTAAAATTAGCTTTGCGCTAGCAGAGATATATCATAAAAGAAGCTCTTGAGGTCAAAAGGAAAAAGTTGAAAAACAGATCTAGTGGTGTTTTGCCATCATGGGGATGTGCTCTTCCTGATTATCTGACAATAAAATGCTTTCTTATTTTGGCCTGAAGAGCTGCTTATATCGTGTATCTTTTACTGGGCAAGATCATAGGCTGTATAAAGAAGTGGACTAAGGGAGTGTGACGTCACCCATGGTGTTTGGCTCCAGTCAAATGAAGCTCACGAGGCTTTTAGCAGTTATTGGAGTGAATTTGGAGTCGAGTTCCACATTAGGAATTTATTTTCATACAAAATAGCTAAATAAAAACACCAGGAACTTGTACAGCTGGTTAATGCAAACATATGATGTGACGAGACTCACTGCAGCAGTTACAGGCAGGGGGCTGACAATTTTTTTTTTATATGTGAAGTCAATTGGAGCCAGGGTTGGTGGAGCTGGAAGTACCCCCATGTAGAGGTCTGCGCAGGACAGAATTTTCAGTCCTGTTGCCGCCCGTACCTACATTGTGCAGTTCTGCTCCCGCCCGCAAAGAATTGTAATTTTCAGTCCTGCTCCCGCCTGCATCTGCGATAGTTTGTCCCGCTCTCGCAAGTCCCCCAAAATGTTCACGTTCGCTTTATTAACCTCTATCAGACATGGAAAAGCGGAAAGGAATTGTCTAAAATCTGCTCGACATTAGACCACATCTGCAAATTTAGGCTGCTTAAAATGTTTTTATTAATACCAAATAAAATATCCAGCACAAATGATGTATGATGGCATACAAGAATCATTAGTATATTTGCTTTACACACAATATTTAGTTTGCGGGACTATAATTTAGCATCCCAGGTTGTGCAGTCCCTTTCAAAATGTGTCCCGCACTGCACAGTTGCGTCGGGTCCCGTGGGTCCTACCCCCATGCTCGTATTGGTGAACACGGGGGCTAGCAGATTAGCCATGTCCATTTATATACACAGTCATTGGGCAAGACAAATTTGCTCTAATACATGGACAAAAATCTATCAGATACTGCCCTTTTAATCCCCCTTCTGTTGTAGTTATAGTTTATGTTTGCTTTTGTAATATTTGACTGTCCTCATTGACCTAACCAGTGAATACATGCAGAGAAGTACCTCACCCTGGTCTGTGATTTTACATAAGCTTGTGCCATGTTATCTAAAGCACCTGACAGCAAATACAGGCACTACAGCGAGTCCCAGCGCTCAAACAGCTGCACGCAAACCCTTCCAGGAATATATTTACAGAATGAAAAAAACCTATGCATAGACATGGGCCTTAGAGCAGTAAGTACTTTTCAGTTTTGGCTTGTGGGTAGTTTATTAAAGCTCGTTCATTTTTTGCTTCTCAACAGCGAGCCCATCTGCTCACTGACAGTTCGGATGGCTGCTTTCGTGCGTCTCCAGATTGAGAATATACGAATCACTGGTGGTTTTCGCGATCTCCAAAGCACCACCTCAATAGATTTTTGTCAGAATTGGCATTTCTTACAAACATTTTTTTCTCCCATGTTTTTTGGCAGCTTTACTAAGCTTCCTATTCCTTCTTTTTGTTTCACCTTATTCGGTCGCAGGAAGTGTGTGCGGTGTCGCCATGGTAGCAGCTGCTTGGAACATCTGGTGGGGGCATTGAGGGGGCTCAGTGGGAGTCAGGGAGGAGAGAGAGGGAGGCACGAACCTGTCTGTCCCACTGAGTGTGTGTGTGTGTGTGTGTGTGCTGTGTGTCTGTGTGTGTGTGTCGTGTGTGTGTGTGTGTGTGTGTGTGTGTGTGTGTGTGAGGAGTGACAAGAGTGTTAGCTACAGACCGCTACATCACACGAGACAGAACAGGGCCTTAGCTCACCTCTGGGACAGTGATGGCAACCGAGAAGAGACAGATATTTTAAGACTGGGTTGTGAAAATGTCAGATGTGGATAAAAGGAAGAGTTAGTTTTAGTTCAGATTCATAGCAAAAGAGAAAAGAAAAAATCATTTGTTACTTTTTGGCATTTGTACAAACATGATTACTGATTGTGAACTACAATCAGTGAGCAGTAAGTGTAATCTCTCGTCCAGATAGGATCCATAGCAAAAGAAAAATTCAATTCAGCCAAGTGGAAAAAAGTTTTTTTTGTTCTTTTTGATTAGTTTTTGTTTTCATACAGTTGATATAATTTATTTATTTTCTTTTGCAATAGGTTTAGCACTGAGGTGTAACAATAACCAAAATATCGTTATATTGTATCGTCAAAAGTCTCTCAATAATATTGTGGTCCATCATAATATATCGAATCATAAGTTTCTTTGCTTAAATTCATTGTTATGGTACAGCAGTATCTTAAAAAAACAGAGGAAACTACATCGACCATGATCCTTTGCTCCATTTTGGTGCAAACTACATGAAGAAATAGCAATTTTAAGCACTTTTAAACCTTAGGTCTTTGGATTAAGTTTTGTCAAGGCATTTTAAGAGGAAAAAGTAGCATATTCACAATTTTGTTAGCCTCCACAAAATATCACAATAAATACCGTACCGTGAGAGATATATCATGAAAATATTGTCCCCTGAGATTTGGATATTGTTACATCCCTACTTAGTGCCTTTCTCACAATATTTAGTATTCAGACAGGAATTTATCCTTAATAGCTTTTAGTTGAAGATTTAGTTGTATATCATCAAGTGACAAAACCTTCTAACCGCATAGTTATAATATCTTTGTGTATATTTATGTCAGCATTAAACGTTTTTGTGTCAGTGGCATAAATTAGTTCAGATATTATCGTTTATTGTCTATATTTACTTCAGTAATATATCACACATCAAAATGTGTTATGGTGACAGGCCTAAATGAAAGTGCCTGCCCTTGTTTACTAGCTAGCATCATTACTGTGTGTTGGCTGACTACTTTTAACAAATATGGGAGAAGGAATTGATAAAAGCTTTGTGCGATCTAAGTAACGGGGTAATCCTTCCAAAGGTGAGAGATCAAGGTGCCCTTATAGTTTGTATTTTTGTTTTTTTTCAGCTGTAAAGTATTACTTCAAAGGATTCAGTTCACAACAAAATATTCTGCTCCTCTCCAGATCTTTTAGTTAAAAGCTGTAGCCGATTTTTATCCATGGTATTGAGTAAAATTTATTTCTTCAGTGCAGATATTTTCGAAAAAGTATCTCTCAGGGTAAATAATACCTCTGTGTACTTTCTGCAGCTAATAGTGTTTTATCATCAGAGGACCAGGAAATGTGCTGTTAGCATGCTAGGTGGTGATGATGTGTTGTTGTTTTCTGGACTCTGAAAGTTGTGAAAGAACACTTCAGGGTGTTTAATTAGGGTGCTAGGAATGTGTTGGGAAAGTGAGGAATAACTTTGGACCACTTTAAAGAGTTCAAAATTCATAGTATAAATTTTTTGTTTTGTCAATTTTTTCGTACTTTATTTTTATGAGTATTTTCAAGCTTTTGTTGCTTATACAAGAAACAGACAAACAGCAGACCACAAGCAACACACTGCATCTAGAAAGAGCAAGTACAGAAATAATACAAAGTATAGTCATCATCCCAATATTAATGTTTTGCCCATTTTTAAAGGTGCACTGTGTAACTTTGTGGTTGGGGTTCTGTCTCCTGCTTGGTTCTATAGCTATGTCATTGCTCTGCTATGAATGTTCCACAGTATGACATTAAACAGCGCTACCTAACATTTATTCAGTTACAGATACCTAGAAAAACAGGCATTCTAACTGTGAGGTCTGCCTCTCCACAGATCTGACCTGTAACTTGGTCTGGTTTGGCCTCCATGAAGATAAAGGTTTAATACCATACTGTGAAACATTTCAGATAAAGCAATAACATCTTCATGGAGACATTTTAAGAATTTGATAGACCCTCCACCAGAAAACTTACACAATGCACCGTTAATGTTTTTGCCCATTTTTAAACATTCACAGACTTTAACTTAGTAACAGGCGTCATCCCAGCCAACTGTAATACTTGAGAAATTGTACTTAGATCTTGAATGCAGAGTTTGTCCAGGACTGGTATGTTTATCCCAGTAGACATTTCCGTGCATTACAAATAGCAGACCCTCCCTTGGTGTTTTCTCTTGTTATATCTGCATGAAGAGCCCACGGCACCATCACTCTTGGCTTTGTCAAGAACGCTGCCAATTTGATGAGCGCTTCCTGGTCCTGGTGAAACATCTCTTTGTTCACGACGGGGATCCAGCCTCATATCTGCCTCTGTCTTCACTGGTTTTGATTGTAGCTTTTAAGTATTTTTTTTTGTTTATGTCCCAGGTGTGTTTGCGCTGCTTCAAGCCTACGCCTTCCTTTTGTACCTGAAGGACAGACTGACCAAACAGGAGTTCCAGACGCTCTTCTTCCTCGGGGTTTCTCTGGCCGCTGGCGCAGTCTTCCTCACTGTCATTTATCTCACGTATACAGGTGTGTGCTTATATTCATGTGGGAATTTACTCAAAGACAAACTAGATCTTCAAATAGAGTTATTGGGGTTATTCTTCTGTTGCAAACACTGTACTGTATGGGAACAACTTTGTCACAATATTACACATATAAAATACTCTGTTCCTGAATGCAATGTACATTTTTTTGATCTGTTATTATGTTTCCTCATCCAAAACACACCTGGAGTTGTATTATGTTTCATTCACACATGTTTAACACACAAACCCTACATACTGAGGAAGAGTTTTTTTGTCAAACGGAAAACACTCTGTTCCACCTTATGATGTCATGTGGTAATACATGAAGTGCTCCACTGTTCTCTAAACTGCATACACCTTCGCTAGAATCATTTGGATAATTTCAGCCCTGAAATTGCCAATCTCTACTGAATTAAAGGTAAAAGGAGCTATTGACATGAAAACTACCACTACATGACATTACCAGGTGGAATAAAGCATTTTGGGCTTTGGAGATGTAAACAAACTAATAATAATAATCAAGTGTTACTCTATGAATGAGAGAAAATACAACTCCAAGTATGTTTTTGAGAAGGAAACAACATTCTAACACGGCTCACGAGAGTAAGTATTGTGTATAGGACCTTTAAGACTGGATTAATGCTCATACTGTTATTGTTTTTAATTTTTTATTTAATTGATCTTTATCCCAATGAGAGTACAAGACTTTTTTTCATGAGCACCCTATTTAGACAATGCAAAATTAAAACAAAACAATAATAGCAACTGCATAGGTCCATTTAAAACATTAAAAACAGGTGCATTTTATGACATAGTATGACTATGTCTATAGATTATTAAAATACTGTAGTGGCACCAGTGTATTCAGTTTTTTCATGTCCTTGAAATGTTTTCCATTTGTGAGAAGCAAAATAACCAGAAGCTCTTTTTTCATTGTATCTCTAATATGGACAGTTCTTAGAAGAAAACTATTTTGAGATCTTGTATTAAAAGTTCCAGTACAGTAAAGTGCTTAGACAATCATTTTAAGTTTTTATTTAGAAAACTAAGTCATTTATTGTTTGTAACTCACTGGGGGAAAAGCTGTTTGTTGTTGTACTTGTTCAAGCCTGTTTTGGTTTAGGATTAGGTCTAGAAAACATAATTTATCCTTGGAGAGCAGAGGAGAGGTTTAATTTAGACCCCAATCAGGCCTGACATTATGGCCAATGACGGTAAACAGCACAGATCATCTCTTCATCAACCGATCTGTTAGTTTTGATTTGTTTGGCAATAATTGTGTATTTAAAGGTCCTGTAACAAACAAACCCTGCATATTTAGGCTGAGTTTTTCTCTCAAATGGAAAACTCTCTGTTCCACCTGGTCATGTGATAATACAGAAGTGCTCCACTATGTTAAAAACTCCATACACCTTCACTTGAATAATTTGGATAATTTCATCCCTGGAATTGAACTAAAGGTAAAAAGTAGAAGTTAACTTGAAAACTACCACTACATGACATCACAAGGTAGAACAGAGCGTTTTGAGCTTTGGCGATGTAGACAGACCACATATACCACCTACCAAAAGCTTACTCTAACATGACTTAAAGTTTGCAAGAGTCAATTTTGCATAATATAAGACCTTTAAAGGAGCATTGTGTAACTTTTCTGATGGAGGGCCATTCAAATGCTGTTTTGTATGAAGATTTTCTTTGCTTGGTCTAGAAAATTTCATAGTATTGTATTAAGCCTTTCTATCTTCCAGATCAGTTGAGAGGCAAGTTATATTTAGAATATCAGAATATCAGAATATTTTGAGCAATAAAACCTTCTGTAATTTAATAAATGTAAGGTAGAGCTGTTTAATGTCATACTGTGGAACATTCCAGGCAGAGCAATGACATATTCATAGAAAAACAAGTAGGTAATGGACCACCACCCAAAACGTTACACAGTGCACCTCTAAGCAAACAGAATATGTGTGAATTGAGCTGATTCAGTAACTGTCTGAAAAATAGCAGCCACATCTTTTTCCTTTTCTATAAGATATAAGCCTCTGTATTATTTTGGGTTGAGAGCTGCAGGCGCTTAATTCTGTGTAATATTTTATTTATATGGGGAGTCAGTTAGCGGAGGTTCCCCGGTGCGTTTAGTTGCACACACAACATTTTTTGGGAAAACTGCTGCTCAGTTAAATCTGGCTCAATTCCTCCATCTGCTTCACAAAGTGTTAAAATGCCTTGGCTCAGTATTGGTGGATTAACAGCCCATTTGGCAAGGGTCAACTGGAGAGAGGGAGGTTTGTCATCCAGTGTTAGTCATTAGAAATCCTGTTGTTTTTCCACTAGAACTGCACAAATTGATTAGTTAGATTTAGAATGTATGGCATGGAGTAATAGTATAATAGTATAATAGTATAATAGTAATAGTATAATAGTAATGGTATCAGCAATAGTATTTATGGATTTACAGATGACAAAAAATAGAGTTCTAAAATCTTAGACCTGCTTTAGTCCTGATTGGTCCTGGTTTAGTCCTGGTTAGAGATAGGTTGGTCGACACATCAGGCTGATATTTTTTTTGCACTTTTTATCTTAAGGCCACCACACACTACAGGATTTTTCCATCTTAAACATTTTTTAAACATTCGACAAAAAGCGCACGCCACAGATGAGGAGAATCTTATGAGATTTTAAATCCCCGATCATTAAAACTACAACGGGATATGGCTGCATGCTACAGGCTATAAAGTTGTGAATGCACCTCGTGTCTGCTGTTTCCTGTCTGCAGTAAAACGACTCGCTTTGAGAGTGTTCAAAAGATCAGAGCACTACACTTCTAGTTTAGATACAATTCAAAACAGTTATTTGTGAAATGTAGTGCAATACTTCAGATACATGAGTTTTAAAAACATAAAAAATTGGCAAAAAAATACAGAGGAAGTTGAGTCACTATCGCTAATCTGCAGCGTCACCTCGATCCGTGCGCTGTGTAGATGTAAACAAAAACACATGAGGAACTACTCTTGCCTTTTTATTTTCAAAGAACACCTCAAACTGGATTAATAGTGCTGTTTTGTGGACTGGATGCCATTATTTACGGAGGACAATTTCTATGGATAATGTGGGTGAGACGCTGCAGTTTAAATTTACCATTTTATGAGAGGTGAGTAATAAAGTCTTGTCATTATTTCTGCTATTTCCCAAGTTTGTATCTTGCGTTTCTGCGTCAGTTACTCTATTTGTCCCTGACGCTTTGTTTTATTGGCTCTTACTGTAGCAATGCTGATTTTTGGTGGCTACAATATATGACTGAGCCGCTCAGAGAGATGACCTAAAATCACACATGATACAAAAAGTTGGGCCATGCCGCCCTGAATTCAGGGAGAAGCAAATTGCAGCCAAAATCGTGCAAATTTTCCTGTAGTGTGTGGCGGCCTTTACTGCCTGTCATAAACCTCCAGCAGAGGTCAATATTTTGTTTAAATCAACAAGCTGCCTAAAAATGTGTATAAAGCTTCATCTGAATACATTTCCATGCAGGACACTGACACTGCACAAAGCATGACTGAATTGCAATTTTACCCAATTTGTAGTAAAACAAGGTCATGGATTAGTTTGTAATTAAAAAAACACACATTACACATTTGGGCAAATCAGAATTTGCACAGCCAAAAATATCCACAGCCCTCATCAGCCATTGGTTTCTCTTAATTCTAAACAATTAGTATGGACAATGGCCATAAAAAAATCCGTTGATTTCTAGTCCTGGGTTAGCGCTGGTTTAATCCTGTTTTAGTCCTGGTTAAGACCTGTATTAGTCCTGGTTAAAAGTGAAAGCTGCTTTTGGGTAGTTTTAAGATACAGTGTCATTAGAAATCATTACATACCAGAAGTACCACAAGTCAGAAATTGAACTTGCAAAATAGATTCATTCTTGTAGAGCACATTCAGTCCTAGATTATGATTGAGCTCTAGTTCAGTCTTGGTTTGAATCAGATTTAGACCTGGTTTAGACCTGGTTTAGACCTGGTTTACAAGACCTGTATTACACAAGAAACTAATCTAACAAAATAGATGTATTCTTGTAGACAATCTTCAGTCCTAGAGTACATTTGAGGTCTACTTTAGTCCTGGTTTGATCCTGGTTTAATCCTCTTCTAATCTAGTCTCGCTCTCAACCAAATTTTAAATTTCTATAGGGACTGCATTTGGCTAGATTAAGCCGTACTCATTGTTCTGGTTTTGACTATATTTTATTTCTGATCCATATTTCATTTCAGTCCTGGTTTATCCCCTCAAAAGCCTGGTGTAACGTGCAGAATTCAATGAGCGTGTTTGTATTGTAGTGTCAGAAAATCAGAGCCAGACTCCAGATTCTAAACAAATGGGAACGGGGTGAAAGTTGAGCTGAAACAGTTGGACATCGTGCAGTGTTTTTTCAGAGATTTGTTGTTTTGGCCTCTTTGAACCCACACAAACATGCTACGGTGTACTGTATATGAGCCAGTCTTGTTGTTCTACTGTTTATTTTCTGTTCTGGAGATGTGGAAGATTTAAACACTTGATTAAGACTTAAAGGTGCACTATGTAGCTTTTTGGTTGGGGCTCTGTCTCCTTGTTTGTTTCTATGAATGTGTCATTGCTCTGCCTGGAATGTTCCACAGTATGACATTAAACAGCTCTACTTTACATTTATTAAATCACAAGTGGTTTTATAGCTCACAAATACCTAGAAAAACTGGCATTATATCTGTGAGTGGGATCTGCTCTCCACAGATCTGAACTGTAACTTGGTCTGATTTTGTCTCCATGAAGGTAGAAAGGTTTAATACCATACAGTGAAACATTCCAGACAAAGCAATAACGTCACCATAGAGAAAAGCATTTGACGGATTCTCCATTAGAAAAGTTACACAATGCACCTTTTCATTAGTTGGCTATTAGTGTCCATGTTTATGTCAGGAAATATAAATAATTATTAAGTAAAGGACATGATTTTGACAGGGCATAGTAGCTATTATCTTTAACTGACCTTATGTATGAGATTGTATTAAAGATTAGATTCTTGGAGTGGACCAAACCGAAAGGCAAAGATAAGGTATAAAAATAAGTTTAAATTTAACAAAGTCAAAAAAGAGATAATTTAACAAAGGCTCAAATTAGGTTAATTATGAACAAAAAAAAGTCAGGCCCAACTCAACTTAAATTCAAACTGAACAGAACCAAACTAACCCAACCAGACAAAGGAACAGGGGTGTTTAAATACCCAAGGACCAAGTAAAACTGAACACGAGGGGTGAATTACACTAAATAATTAACTAAAACTATTAACTTCATCAAAGTAACAAGAAGGCAAATAAGTGTAATACCCCCCCATGGGATAACCATTTTGCATTGCCCAAAATGTTCATCTCAACATCTCTCCACAGATCTAAACTGTGACTTGTCCACATGCTTATCTCCTTTGATATGTTTAATGCCATACTGTGAAAAATGTCAGATAAAGAATAAGATCTCCATGGAGACAAGCAGGTAGCAGACCCTTCACCTTTCAAATGTCCTCATATTTCCAACTACATTTCAATAACCACATTCATATTTTTCTTCACAGTTTGGCCTAAACATAATTACTGAAAGCCCAAATTGTCAGACACACTTCACACACTGACGCTCTGTGCACTGACACATTACAACAAGCTGAACTGTGATTGGTCGGTTGTCTGTGTGGTCCATCTGGCACTGGAGCTGGTGTCTGCTCTCCTGATTGAGCCGTGAGAGTGGGTTTGGGGAGGTGCCAGGCTTTGGTCTGTCAAGCTTTTTCATCTCATGAAGTCATCCTCAGTTCCTCCATAGTCGAGCAGGTTTAAACTCAAAGCCAGAGATTGATCGGTTGGATACGTTTCTATACATCACGGCTGGGCTGTCTCTTCCACCTCTGATTCCACAGTGTCTCTATAATCTCTGTTTACTGCCCTTTGGTCAATTTAAAGGTGCACTGTGTAGATTACAGTTACTTGTCTCCATGGAGAGGATGTTATTGCTTTACCTCCAATATTCCAAAGTATGGCATTAAACTTTTCAATCTCCATACTACAAACAAGAGACGCTACCAGGCCAATTTACAGAAGAGATGACCCCACTCACAGTAAGAATGCTGATATTTTTGAGCTATAAAAATACCCATAATTGAATAAATACATCGTATATACATTTAATACCATATTGTGGAACATTATAGGTATAGCAATAACATATCTATGCCCCAACCTGAAAAGTTACGCAGTGCACCTTTAAAGTCTTTCTTATTCTGTAAAGCACTTTGAATGACTTTGTGTGTGAATTGTGCGATACAAAAAAAACTTGCCTTCATGCATGGGTGAGAATTTTAGCTTGTAGGTGATATTTTGATCTTATTTTTTAGAACAGCACAAAAACAGTGTTAGAACTTTTACTCTTTTGTGGAGCAATGCATAAAATATAAGCCATTACAACATTTCTCTTAACTTTTTAGCTTTTAGCCATGTTATAACAGAGGTTCCTCATCATTTGCTCAACCAGAGTTTTAGTTTGATTGAGGCATTTATGTTTGAGTCATACTGTATTGTTCAGACTTTGAGCTTTGAATTCTCAAAATTTTTCTTTTTCGCCTAAAAACCCAGCAAAATAATTTATGAATTTTACAGTTTATTACTAAATGTTATTCTTAGACATATCCAAATGAGCACTGTGAACTAAATCTATGTAATCTATTATGACATTTTTCAGTTACCATATTTTAACTTTATATCACAGCATTCACATACAAGCTTACTCAAGCATTAATGTTTTAATAACTTATGTCCCATTTAGGAGTAAGACCCTCATCCCATGTTGCTCTGAATACCACCAAAGTAATCACTGTTGTAAAGTGTAATGTGTGTGATTATCATTTGAGTCAGTGTTTTTCTCCAGGCTTCTGAGTGACACTTTTGCTGGTTCACTTTTTCTCCCTTGAGCCCTTTTGTGCCTATGAACATGAACAGAGCTGGACTTATGGAGCTCTTGTGACTTGTAGCCATCAAAAATTGTCCCTTGTCAAACTCAGAAATTCTTACATGTGCCCATTTTACTGCTTTTAAAACTTCAACTTCAAGGACAAATTGTTCACTTGCCACTTGTATCCCACCCATTAAAGGTAGCCATGATAAAATAATCCATTATTTTTAGCTATTGTTTGTATTTATAGTGCCTTTGATTGTCATATGAATACACTCAATAGAAATAAAAGTGGTCTTCATAATAATATTAACAGTGTTTGTTTGTGTCATGTGTTAGGATTGAGCCCTGGAGCAGCATTTAAACTGAAATATTCCAGATCAAAGCTTTAGTGAAAAAAGACATTTGTTTTCACATTTGCTGCTTAAATGAGCCACTTACATTTCTAAACAAGTCTAAACTGCTCATTAAAACAGCAGCCATCCAGCACACTAGAGCTTTGACAGGTCTCTCTGGCCTCACAGCAGACATGTCAGTCAAAATCTAATCTCATTTACGTACTCTGAAGCTATGTGTTTACACATTTGTGTAGTCAGAAATCTGTGACCCCAATACAGTATGTTTTTATGGGTTTCTATAAACAGAAATATTATATGACATATTTGGATTTTGTATATTTATTTATGTATTTACTATTTATTTGTAGTTTAGACGTCTTTCTTTGAAGGTGCACTGTGTAACTTATGTTTTTGTGCTTATTTCTGTGGAGATGTGACAACTCCTCCTGGAATGTTCCACAGTATGACATTAAACAGCTCAACCTTACATATATTCGATTACAGGTGGTTTTATAGTTCAAAAATATCTAGAGATACAGGCATTCTGACCATGTGTGGAGTAGCAAAATTGCAAGAGACTGGTGTCAAATAAGGCATATTTATAAGTAAAAATAAAATATAGAAATATGTTGAATGCCATAATGTTTTACATTCTAGACAAAGCAATAACAAAACAATCTTCCACTAGAAACGTTTCATAGTGTACCTTTAAATCACATCTTACACACTTAACAATGTCATCACTTTTTTTAACATCTAATATCTTGTATCAGCATATAGCAATATAGGAGTTGTTTGAATAATTCAGGCTATAAACAGAGCTGTATACTTCCAGTTACATTAAACATTAGGCAAGGCAAGGCAAGTTTATTTGTATAGCACAATTCGTACACAAAGTAATTCAAAGTGCTTTACAGAATAAGAAATACATTAAAATCATAATAAAAACAAATCAAAACATAAATAATCATGAAGATTAAAATAAAATAAAAATCTCATCTCATCTCATCTGAGGCTAATTAGAGTTGTAAATATTGCTGTTTCAATAATTATCATTTTCCAGCCAGGACTGAACCAAGTCTTAACCAAGTCTTAACCAAGTCTTAACCAAGTCTTAACCAAGTCTTAACCAGGTCTTAACCAGGTCTTAACCAGGTCTTAACCAGGACTTATCCAGGTCTGAACCAAGGTCTGGGCAGAGGTCTGGGCAGAGGTCTGGGCAGAGGTCTGGGCAGAGGTCTGGGCAGAGGTCTGGGCAGAGGTCTGGGCAGAGGTCTGAAGAGAGTCTGGACAAATGTCTGGACAAATGTCTGGACAAATGTCTGGACAAATGTCTGGACAAAGGCCTGGACAAAGGCCTGGACAAAGGCCTGACAAAGGCCTGGACAAAGGCCTGAACCAAGGCCTGAACCAAGGCCTGAACCAAGGCCTGAACCAAGGCCTGAACCAAGGCCTGAACCAAGGCCTGAACCAAGGCCTGAACCAAGGCCTGAACCAAGGCCTGAACATTACATTAAAAATAGAGGCAACTTAAAGCTTAGTGGAGCTTTAAAATGGTGATGAATGTTTCACTAATAATCTTACAGCAGGCTCAGTGTTCTTGCTCACAATATCACTGCTAGAGCACAGCTTCGCCCTGGGGTCTGGGTCCATATTATTCCTTCATTCTTCAGGTTTGAATGCAGCTGTAAAAGGCAGGCTCTTATCGATCTTTTAATTTTTTTTCCCAGGTTACATTGCACCATGGAGTGGCCGTTTCTATTCGCTTTGGGACACTGGGTAAGTGCTACTCACCTTAATATTGTACTTTGAGATCTTGAAGGGTTTACAGATGTTTTCACCAAATAAAATCCTGTTCAAGTGTTTTATTGATGAAATCCACTCTCATATGTGTCATTTTGTCTTTTTATTGAACAATTTTGTACCTGTATTTTAGAGCCCTACAAGATAATTGGATTAGTTTGGCAGTTTCAGTCTTCTCTAAACGCGCATTGCTTCCGGAGTTGTTTATATATACACACTTTGAACAGAATCCCACTTTTTAAATAAATATTGCAAATCAAATTGTAAGCGCAGTACAGAAAATCACAATTTTCTAAATCTTTCCTATATTAATAATTACTTCACTACATATACATACACTACATACTTGTAATTTTGCTTCTTTTTTTTTATTTATTTCTTTTTTCACGATTTTAGTAGATCAGGTTTGTATCTTAATGGAAATAGAGATTTTTTTGTTTTTACTTCCAAACTTATTAACAAGATAGATGCAAAAGTACAGATGCACAGTACAGATTGCACAGAAAGATTTTTATTACTGTAAAACTTCCCTTGACACTTTTTATTATTACTTATTACTTTTTATTATTTAGTTTTATTTACATTCTTAGACTAAATTCTTCCTCCCTTGCACTCTGCTCATGTGCACAACGCTCTCCTCTTACTCGCAGCAAACTTATCAAATTCATTTAATCAAACATATTGTCTAAAACTTTTGCTATTTCGCTTTCTTCATTCTTACTGGGAATTTAGACTGGTTAACAGTTTATAGCCTGCTCGATGGTCCATGCTCTGTCCATGGAGCTGTTTTCTTCCTGCGTTAGCTAAGGGACAGCATGGTTACCCCTTTCATTAGTAAAAGTGTGTATTTTTGTGCAGTAATAGTCCTAGGTTTATATCATACATGCCTTCTTATCACACTTTACTACCACTGTATGTTAATAAGCATTTCCAAAAAACAAACAAACAAACAAAAAAACGTAGATGTAGGCTTAAACTTCATTGATCCACAATTATTTGGACAAAGTAGCTCACATATCACAATATAATACAATAACAAAGAGCAAAAATAGCAAGGGACTGGTGTCAAATAAGGCATAATTATTGTATGTGTACACGAAAAAAGAAAAAAAAAAAGTAAGTATTTGGGCTGTATACAAGAGGTGGTAAACTCTTCTCCTACTAGCACTGAACCTTTAACTTTCTCTAAGTATAGATTTGTCCCACTTTCGTCTCCTGCCGGCACCCAGGGTTTGATATTTCGGTGGATCGATGCCTCCTCCAGTGAGCTGACTGGGGCATTATGGGGCCTGTTTTTCCCTTTACCTCTGGAGCTACACTTCCTTAATTCTTTAATGCGTTGCACACTCCTTCTCACAGCTGTAATCACAAAATACCTCAGACTTCTCACACCAACTCAGAAATATTGGGTCCTTGATCTGAGTAGACCAAGGTGAGCACAAATCAGGATCATATGAAGGCTAATAATATCAAGCACTGAACCAGATCTGGATCTGCACTGAAGCAGGACTCATTCAGATTTAACCACTTTTTAATCTATTTGGCCAAACAACATTTAATATACTCTAAGAGCTATTGTACAGTCCACGAGAGAGGCACAGAGAAGACAGAAACTGAGTACTTAGCCAGAACTAAACCAAGACTAAAAGAAAGATCTAAAACACATTTGGCTGAAGGGATGAATAAAACCAGGATTTAAGCTTATCTGTAATGGATTACAGTGTAGGACTGAATTTAACCAGGTCTGAACCAGGATTGAACCAGAACTGAACCAGAACTGAGCCAGGTCTGAGCCAGGTCTGAGCCAGGTCTGAACCAGGTCTAAACCAGGTCTGAACCAAGACTGAACCAGATCTGAAGGAGGACTTAACCAGGACTTAACTATGAACCAAGTCTGAGCCAGGACTGAGCCAGGACTGAACCAGGACTGAGCCAGGACTGAACCAGGACTGAGCCAGGACTTAACTATGAACCAAGTCTGAGCCAGGACTTAACTATGAACCAAGTCTGAGCCAGGACTGAGCCAGGACTGAGCCAGGACTGAGCCAGGACTGAGCCAGGACTGAGCCAGGACTGAGCCAGGACTGAGCCAGGACTGAGCCAGGACTGAGCCAGGACCAAGTCTGAGCCAGGACTGAGCCAGGACTGAACCAGGACTTAGACATAGACTAGACAAACTGTATTCATCCACAAGGGAAGTTATTGGATCAGGACTGAACCAGGACAGAACCAGGTCAGAATCAGGATCAAATTTGGACTAAACTGCCTTGTCACCAGATCTAAGCAGGTTCTAAAATTTCACTTCGAACTGCTTTGAAAATATGTCCAACTGTATTAAAACTTGTGTGTAAAAATCTCCAGAAAATTGTCGACCTGGGATTATGTACAACAGACTAATTTGTGTTTGTTTGTTTTACCACAAGGGAGATCGAATGATCTCTGTGCTTCATAATTCTTTTGTTAATCACTGGCATCTATTGTATAATTTGTCTCCAAACTCCCAACACATTTTGTCTCACATAAATTAACCAGTGTCTGTGTTTCTCAGTTATGCTAAAATCCACATCCCGATCATCGCGTCAGTCTCTGAGCACCAGCCCACCACCTGGGTCTCCTTCTTCTTTGACCTGCACATCCTGGTTTGCACCTTCCCCGCGGGGCTCTGGTTCTGCATCAAAAACGTCAATGATGAGAGGGTTTTTGGTGAGTAAATCAACTGAGAATTGGTTTAGCTCCAATCGAAACTCAAAGACTCATATAAAACTATTTTCTGATGTATGATGTTATGTTGTTTCCTCATCAAAAACATAGAGTTGAATGAGATGGATGAGAGATTAGAGTTTCATTCACACATGTTTAACGAGCAAATCCTGCATTTTTAAGATGAGTTCTTAAACAGAAAACACTTTGTTGCACCTTGTGATGTCATGTGGTGATACAGGAAGAGCTCCACTGTGTTTTTAAATGCCATACACTTTCACTAGAATGTTTTGGATAATTTTAGACCTGGAATTGCAAATGAAGTAAAAGTAAAAGGTAGCTGTCAAGTTGAAAACTACAACTTCATAGCATCACAAGGTGAAACAGAATTTTGAGCTTTGTAGATGTGTAATATACTGTAGAATTATTCAGATGTGTGTGAATAAAACAAAACCCAACTCCAGGAATGTTTTTGAGGAGCAACATTATAACATAGCATAAAGCTCCATTTTGTGTAATGTAGGATCTTTAAGATATTTTTGTCAATATAATGTAAAATGTTGTGATAAAATGGAAAATGCGTCTGGTGTCCTCTGCTGGCAACAGCTTCAGTGACAAGGTTTCGTAACTGCCAACTACTGGTAAACCTCTCCCAAAGCAAAAAAAATGTCCCCATCAATATAATTGAAAATATTCCATTTTAACTTTGTAGCTGCTGCTGTACTAAAATCATTGTCCAGTACTTTGGCGATTGCCCTTTAAAAATGTCATTATTTTGTTAGAGAAGCTGGGACCACTTTTTATGCAGAATCTATTAGTGAGTGAATACATTTTCCACTGGACAATAAAATTGAAAACCAAACACAGTGGATTTTCTGTAATAAAAATGTAAAAGTGCTTTGGCTGAAGAATATACCTGTACACCTGCGTCCACAGGTAAATTCTCATTATAATTTGGAAAACCACTTTGAAAGTTTAATGATCTCTTGGTGTACAAAATATTTATTTACTCTAATTATGTTGGTAGGTTTCCACAGTTTTGTCGATTATCTGAAAATACTGTAAATAATGAGCTGAAAGCTGAAAGCTCTCTCAGTTAGCAGGTTTGGTAAATGCATAATTTCTCTAATTATATTTTGGCACAAACAAAGTTGATGGATTGTGTCAGAATTTAGTTAACAGCTTCAAAACTAAAATTATTTGTGGTGGCTGTTTTGTTTGTCAATATTTCATTAGAATCATATGTGTTCACAGGGAGAAGTTAAAACGCTGTAGACTGTACCTGGGATACAATTTTCATCAGACATGAATTATTCATGAACACATTTGCATATGCAACAATATTGTGATCTAGTCACCAAATGTACCAGAAAACAAACACATTTTGTCAACTCTTACACTAGATTTTAGGCTTCACTTCGGACAGAAATCTCATTTCTGATCTGATCTGATTATTACAATAGAAAAAGAGCATGTGATCATTTAATAAGACATAATTACAGTCTATTTGATATTATGTAAAGCCTGATGGACTTTTTGCTGAATTAACTGTTTATATTATATGACTATAGTGGTTTGATTATTTGTTTTTTTGAGTACGTATTCTTACAGAGTAAGAAAGATTTACATTTCCTCTTTTCTGTCTGATTATTACAATAGAAAAAATGTGTGATAGTTTAATGAGACATCACAATAATTATAGTCTGTTTGATATTATCTAATGCTTATCAGTCTTTGCGAAATTAGTTATATTTTGTGAAAGGAAATGGCTATGTCGTTTTTTTAGAGGAACAGAGTAAGAAAGATTTGCATTTCATTTTTTAGCTCTGAACATATATTAGTATGCATTGACAAAGACAGAGACAACATCATATCACATGCTACAAATAAAGTTTTATTGGTTTGTCTACATTCCAGAAGTTATCACAAAATCATAATTCTTATTTTCTGCTGGCTGTGTTTTTACAGTTCTCTCCAAGTGTGAAGGACAAACCTCTACGGGCCTATAAACCAGGGCAACGCCACTAGTTTTTGTTCAAGAAAATAATTCGATTTTGTTGCAGAGATAAAAAGTTTGTTTAGCAACCAGAAAAAGCAGTGCATGATGGGAAAATTCTCAGAGTAAATTTTAGCATGTGTGCAGACAGTGCAAAGAAGGACAAACTATATCGGTCTTTATTAAACTGGTATTGGCATTGATCAGAGACGGACCAGGTCAGCACTTTTCAGAGGTAATAGTGCGTGAACCCTTTGTGTGTGTTTGAACATCTAATTTATCTTCTCACATTTTGTCCTGATATGAACTTGCTAAGGAAGATGAGGATTTCTGTTGTTTTTTTGGTACCATATTTATAAATTCAGATTTAAAAGTTTAATCAAAAAGCAAATTAAATATGAAAGTTGTAGGTAAGATTATTCATTAAACTGTTTATAGTCAGTATATAAAAAAGCTGGTTTTGATGGGAATAGCATCTGGTGTAAAAATATTTTCTCTCCAGCAGAAAAGTTGTATATTTATTTTCATTCATTCTATATTTTACCAGCCAAAACATTAAAGGTCCTATATTAAGCAAAATGGATTCATCTGAACTGTAAGTCATGTTATAATTACCTCATCAGTAGGGGTGGCACGGTTTACAAAATTCACAGTATTGCGGTTTTCAGTTCGGTACGGTTCTTGTTGTAATTTTTTCTTTTTAATCTTTAATCTCCAGAAATATACTTCATCATATGCTATGTTAGCTTAATTATCCACAATTTAGGATACAGCATTAAAAAAGTTCAAAAATTATAGTTAGTAATGTAATCATGCACAAACTGAATTTGACTTGACTTTAAGCACTTTATTACTGGACATAGGCAGCTGTTGTGCTTCGGTGAAAAAATGTTACCACCTTCCTAACCCTCCTCAGGAGTAGGGATAATTGGTTTAGTGAGATTGCACTCTTGGCTGCAAGGTTAGGGTCTGGCTCCACTGCATGCGGGAGCGTTTACGCCCATAACCTTACAAAACCACAGCCGCGTGTCAACGTAAAGGCGGCTTCACCGGCAGCTGCAGCAGGACATACATGCGCAGCACTGGCTCTGTGTTTGTCAATGGGAAAGAGGATCAAACTTGACTGGGCACGTTTAGCCATTTGTATCAGGTCCACAATGAAACTAACAGCTGAACCGGCTTGTAGTTACCTTCTGTACAGGCTGGCCACGGAAAACGCAAGGATTTCAAAAGTAAATTTTAAAGCACTTATTAACATTCTTTCTGGACCTGGGCTCTTTCACATGACACAGAATTGCCCCAGGACTCAGAGTAAATGCACAAATACAACAAAAAATTCATGCTCTCTGTGTATTTTGATGGACATACGCGCCTACGCTCAGGTAGATCATCAAAAATTAGGATGGATCCTATTTTCTGAAATCTATGTGTCTATGTGCAGGACACACTGCTCCATACGTGCGTCTAGCGTGTACAGTGGAGCCGCCCTCATTCACTTTCCATGCATTCTAAAAGGTACGCGTCCAAAAGTTGCAATTTTTACGCTCGCATATGGCGAAAATGTGCCCGGTCAAGTTTGATCGGATTTCCCATTGACAAACACAGAGCCAGTGCTGCTCGTGTACGTCCTGCTGCAGCTGCCAGTGGCGCTGCCTTTGCGTTGACAGCTGTGGTTTCGGGAGGTAACGACATGGGCACATCCTCCATCTCCGGGCGGCCCTCTTCTTTCCTACTTGCCATTTCTACACGTGACACGCAGCACCCACCCTCCACACCTCTTCTTTTGCGCCAAAGCGAAACAAGTCACATACGGGCACAAGGCTACAATGCGCAAGCTGGGAACTGTGGAAACCGTACTGTATGCACACAACCCGAACCGAGACAAGCGAACCGAAGGGTTCATTTTTTTCTCATGAACCATGCCACCCTACTCATCAGAAACATACCTGGAATTTTGTTTTGTTTCATTCATAAATGTTTGAGTAATCCTTTATTATTAGTCTGTAGGGATGTAACAATAATTGAAATATCATATCATATCGTCAAAGGTCTCACAATAATATAGTGGAACATCAGAATACATCAAATTATAAATATCTTTAATTAAATTCATTGTTTTGTTTAATTCTTTGGTCCAAAACTTCTTTGGTCCAGAGATTTTGCACCACAGGCATGTCACATATTTTTAAAAGGAAAAGGTATCATTTATCAACTCTAGAATCTCCACAATATCACAATAAATATCAAATTGTATTGTGAAATGAATATTGTGACATCCCTATTATCTCTAAAGCCCAAAATGCTCTGCTCTACCTCATGATGTCAAGTTAACAGTTACCTTTTACCTTTAGTTTAGAAACGATTCCAAGGCTGAAATTATCCAAATGATACTAGTGAAGGGTTAAGTACTTTAAAAATACAGTAGAGCTCTTCCTCTGTCAGGCAGTTGGTGGTTTTCAGATTCAAGAATGTGTTGATGTCAATGTTGTACTCTCAGATGGGGGGCAAGTGACAGATTTCCATTTTAATAACATTGTAGTTTATCGTAAAATATCCATAAAGTTTACTCACAAATCTTTAATGTAATACTTTCTATTGGTGACTAAATTCGTTAACTTGCTATCTTACAACAAAAACCTGCATTTTAGGTCTATTTATTTTAGCTGTCCCCATCTGTATTAAATATTATTGGCCTATAGAATGTTGTGACATCATCTGAAACGCAGCAATTATTGAACTGTCTGACTTTGTCCCCTCGCTGTCTTGTCTTGCAGTTGCCTTGTATGCGATCAGTGCAGTGTATTTCGCTGGTGTGATGGTCCGGCTGATGCTCACCCTGACTCCGGTGGTCTGTATGCTCTCGGCTGTGGCCTTCTCCAGCGTGTTTGAGCACTACATGGGAGACGACACGCGCAGAGAGAAGCCCCCCGCCGAGGACAGCAGTGACGATGACGACAAGAGGAACTCTGGGAACCTCTATGATAAGGTCAGTGGATATATCTGTTCTGTAGTGATTTTATGGAGGAAAATTTAACCTTTTTACTTTTGGTTATGTGAAACTTTGCACATACTATCTTGTGCATTTCAGGGATAAGGATTCATTCTTGATTTGAATGAACTGGAATAACAATAGTCCACTATTGTTACAGCAACATTGCTGTTCTAGTTAAAATATATATGTCTTTTGGATAGGCGTACGTCCTCACAAACGTAATCACTAGTTTGAAACCATAGACTGTATAAAAGAAGTAGACAAAGTGAGTGTGATATCATCCATAGCATTCAGCGCTGCTCAAATGAGACTCGCGATGCTAACGGTTACAGGAGCGAATCTGGAGTCAGGCTCTGTTATGAACAGGATTTTTTTGACTCACAAAATAGCGAAAAAAAAATTCAGGATCATGTAGAGCAGGTTAATACGAACATTTTAAGACCAAAATGATGAGGCTCACAGCAGCAGTTACAGACAGAGGGGGATGTAAGTCAATTGGAGCCAGGGTCAAAAGGAGCCGGAAGAACCTCTGGCACACTTCCTATTTGGCCTGCTCCGGCTAGCACGTTAGCTATGTTCACTCATATATATGGTCTATGCTTGAAACCCATGAATTGTGAGCCTCTAACTGTCCTTAATAGTGGAGAGTAAAGCTGTTCAAATGAGTTTAAAAACTATAGCTGCTAGCTTCCCAGGTGCATCTTGGAATGTGTTTACACCATAGACTATAAATATGTATATGGATATAACTAGCCTGCCAGCCGCAGTGTTTCATATAGGAAGTGAGCATGAGGGCGCTTCCAGCTCCATCAACTCTGTCTCCAATTCACTTATTATTGAGAAACTGTCACCCCGCTCTCTGTAACTGTTGCTGTCATGCGTTTCATTTTAAAATTATTTGTACTAACCCGCTCTACATGATCGTGGTGGTTTTATTTTTTAATTCCTGTTCCTAATATGGAACTCACCTCCAAATTCTCCTATAACTGTTTGCTTCTGTGCGCTTCATTTGACTGGAGTCGAACGCTTCGGCTGACGTCACGCTCCCTTAGTCCACCTCTTTATACAGTCTGTGGCTTACACTCCTTCAGTCTTTGTTTGATCAAAGTTTAATATTGATGTAGACTTTGTTTAGTCCTGTTTTAGTCCTGGTCTCATTCAGTTTTAGTGCTGATTCTTGTGACAGTTACAGTCTTGTTGTGGTGTGTGTACCTGGAAATGCAATAAGAGTGTTGACAACTTCAGCAGATAAAAACATAAACTCAAAAAAAGTATATTTAGCTTAAAGGTGCAATATGTAACTTTTTGGAGAAGGGTCCGCCGTCTGCTATGGTATTGTTGGGATGTTCTACTGTATGGCATGACTTCTCTATCTCCATGGAGATCTGTGGAGAGGCAAGCCCGCTCACAGTAAGAATGCATGTTTTCAAAGATATCTGAGCAATAAAAACGCTGTTATGGATAAATATAAAATAGACAAAGTTAATGCCTTCGTATGGGACATTCCAGGGAAAGCAATAACATCTTCATCAAGAAAAGTTACAAAGTGCATCTAATTATAAAGGACATTGACTAAAGGACATTGACATTTATTATCAACATTTAATTACTACATTGGCTACCCTTGGTCTACAGACAAAAGAAGGCTGCTCTCTCACCACTGTCTGTCCAGATACAGTGACAAAGGATAAAACAAATCAAAATTGTGATTGAACTGAATACTGAAATGAAAAAAAAAAAAAAGAAATGATATTGTAACGCTGCGATTCAAATGAAAATATTTTGATGCCTCTTGCTGCTGTATGAACCCAATTCCACATTTCTTACATTGCTCAGAAAACGGTATTGATTTTGTTGACAACACTGTAGCATAAAATAGTAAAACCACAACACTGAAAGAGGAGTGAAGTCTGTTAAATGAACTGCTGAAGTTCACAGTTGCTCATTCGCTTCGGCTGCAGACTTTGATGACTCATGGTCGCGTCTCTCCTCACTTTTTTCACTCCAAATAAACTGTGAATTAACCGCCTTTTACAACCAAACTGTGCCTTTGTCTTTTATAGAGAACCTTCTGCCAAATTGTTCAATGATGTCACTAAATACTATTAAAAGCAAGCTCTTTTCAGTGGGGGGTTAATTAAAATGCCTTGTTATTGCAATAGAAACACAGAATGGCTAATCTAAGAATAAAAATGTATAGCTATGGGTTGACACCAGAATAATGTATTTGTAGAGGGCTCTGAATATGTAATCAGAATTGCAATTTGAACGTGATTATCATATTGTAAAGACTGTAATTGTTTAGGGTATTTAATGTCCTCTTGCTAATCACGTAGTTTAAGCTTATACGAATGTTGTTAATGCGTGTGGGTTAATGTGGCACTTCATTTCAAGTCTCAAAAGGTGCATTTCTGGAGATCTTTTCTGGAGATCTTATTGCTTTGCCTGAAATCTTCAACGGTATGGCATTAAACTCATCTTTGCAGTGACATCATACCGGGGGTGTTCTACATGTATATGTGTGCACATATTAAGGCCTGTCATGATAACAAATAGGGATGTAATGATATCCAAAACTCACGGTACGATATTATCGCGATATGCATCTCACGGTACAATATTTATTGTGATATTTTGAAGAGGCTAATATACCTTATTTTACGGGCTATTAGGCGCTCTGGATTATAAGACACACTGTCATTAAATGGTCTATTTTCAAACTTTTTTCACAAATACACTGCACTGGACTTTAAACGAAACACAACAGTTGGATGGGTCAGTTGGACTTTGTTTGGGGCATTTGGCGTTTGACTCTCAGCTTTGTTCAATTGTGGGGCATAGGGAGGTTGCTGTCTGGGACGGCTGGATTGTTGACATGTTCGCAGTGACTCAGTTCTTCAGATGTGGCTCTGAGTGGCACATTGGACTCGCTTTTTCGGTTTGTTCCTTCTTTTCGTTCCTCGTCGGCGTGGAGTGATGAGTGTGGCTGCGGGTGTTTTCGCGGTCTGCTCCGTGCGTGTTTGCGTGTTCTGCAGGTGGTGCGGCTTTGTAGTTTACTGAAGTCATGCTGGGACACCCGAGTGGATTCGTGTATGGGGCACTATGGATTGTGAGGCGCGCGGTCATTTTTTGATGGGGTTAGAGGCTTAAGAGCGCATCTAATAGCCCGGAAAATACTGTAATTGTAGATAGGATGCTTTTTTGCTTTTAAAATACCTTGACAAGATTTTGGCGTTATTATTACCATCATAATCCCAAGAATTCAAGTAAAAAACATATCTCTTCATGTTATCTGCACTGAAATGAATCATGGGATAAGTAGTTCTCTATGTTTTTAAGCTGTTGCTACTATAAAACCATGCATTTAAGCAAAGGAACTTGTGATTCGATATATTGTGACAGCCCACGATATTATTGTGAGACTTTTGCTGATACGATATCACGGTATTTCGATTTTCACGATTTATTTGTTATTAGGGATGTAACAATAATTACATCCCTAATAACAAATTTTGAAATACAATATATTGCTAAAGAGAAAATCTCCACAACTTTGCAAAGATAAAGTACCCATGAAAGATATTGAGTCTCAGAATACAGTATATTGTTGCAGCTTTCATATATTGAACACTAAGTCGATATATATGTTGTGACAGGCCTAGTAAACACAAAGATTTTATATTGTCTGAAACCTCAGAAAAAGGAGCTGTGATCGATGCGTGCGTTCATGGTCCTGTTTAGGAGTTTGATTTTCAATAAAAAGGTGAAAGTGACTAACTGAAATACTGTTGGCTTTATTCCAGCTAGCGTGTGACTGTAATGTTATTTGAGAGACTTTTTTTAACAGCACAAATCAGACCGCCTGTCGTACTTCCAACTATGTCAGCTCTTTATGGTTAGTTTGTGTTGAAATAAAGCTCAGGTTAAACTCTAACAAAGCCTCAGACAGAGCATGCCTACTGTTAGCGTCACACCCCCAGGAAATGTTGATGACATGAGCTGTAAAGTGTCATTGTTCATGGAAAAAATCTGGTGACACCACAAGCTTCAAGTTACAGGTTAAATCTGTGAAGTTACGTACACATTCACAATAAAAATGCATGTTTCCTGAACCATGAAAAACACTTGCAACTGAATAAACAGAAGATTGAAGATTTATTTTCTGGATGATTCAAAACTAATGCAATTTTAGGATTTGTCCAAAACACTTTAGTACTGATGTTAAGTACTGATGCTGCTTTTTTCTGGTCAGAGATTTTTAGTCCCAAAATCTAAAACAAATAATTTTAAAAGGAGCTCTGTTCCAGCTGCTGTTGTATTAATGAATAAATTTTAATATATTTAGCAGTTTTATTTCCTTGTCTCACAAAGCCTTTTTAATAGGTTCGGTCTGCACTAGAGCTGAACATTTTATTCTGATGGTTTTATATATGTGTTTATAGTGCGAATGAGTGAAATGGGACCAGCCTTAAACTGCAAAACAAATTTACCTGTGGGTACAAATAAAGCAACCTCACCTTAAGTTTAATAATTATGTTTCTTGTCTTATAATCACACTTAACGTGACTTATCAGAATGTTTACAAGTTATGTATTTAGTTTGGCCTTGTATTTATTTATTTATTAACTTTGTAATTTTTGTTTCTGCATTTGAGGTTGCTATGGTGATGAGCCTTCTGCTACTGCACTGCCCTCTGCTGTTGTTGCTTATTGGAGCTGCTACTTCCACTCTCCCTCTTTATTAAATGTGTTTTGGTAGTTTTTTATATTGATCCTTTGAATAAAAAGTAAGGAGGATTTTACTTATAAACAAATACACTTGTTTTGGCTCCTGTTTTGTTAAATAATTAGTCGTAATTTTATGGTGATTGTGTATAAAGCAACTTCTTTACTGTCATTCTTAAAGGTGCATTGTGTAACTTTTCTGGTGGAGGGTGTGCTACTTTTTTTGTCTTTGTGGAGATGATATTTGCTTTGCTCTGTGTATTCAACAGTATGGCATTAAAAGTCTTTTCAACTTTATTTCATTTGAGGTGATTTTATTGTTCAGAATCATCTTTAAGAACATGTAAATGACCCCCCTCTCCACCCATCTGACCTGTACCTTGACCTGTTTGTCTCCATGGAGATAAGTTTAATGCCTTACTATTAAACATGCCAGGCTGAACAGTTAAGTCCGTGCATTGCACCTTTAACTTACTAGTCAGATTTAAAAAAACGCATTTCAATCTGATTTTACATTAATTTGTTTAGTATATCTTGACATCTTTCTTGTTATTATCTGAGGTTAAGTGCCGTTCACGCCTCTCATGGTCCCTTAATGAGATTTGTTACATTATATTGTGGTACCGACACAAGGTTCATGTTTCAAGTAGAAAATGAGTGTTTCCTTCAGTGGTGCTCATCTGGTCCCAGCTGTTTCACAGAGCAGAGTACAGGTGCTGCTGCTGCAGACTCGTCTTTAGGGACCTCATCACCTTCATCTGTCTCTGGGTCATAAATTATACAGGTCAAAAGAAACTAGATATGTGAGCTCAAGGAATTTATTACTCAAATAAAAGCAAATATTTATGCTTTGAATAAAGAAGTCACTGGATGGTCCTAAAATAAGAATTCAACAGCGTTTTATTAGCTGTGGAAACACTGATGTAAGTGTCTCCTAGGGAACTCGTATTGTTTTGTGTGTTTTTTGATATTGTTATTTTGTTTTTTCTGGACTGAGTCGCCAATAAATTTAACCTATCTGTCTGTCTATTAGCATAATTTATTAGAGGTTTATTGACACTATATTTAGCACTATGTAACTGTTTTGTGCTGGGATCTGCTACCTGCTTGTCTCCCTAGAGATTTTAGAGCTTTGTTGGGATGTCCCATAGCGTGACCTTATTTATCTACTCTTTAATCCAGTTCCTTGAAAAACACGCATTCTTGTTACCTTGAAGAGATGGTGGCGTCACCTGCTTGTCATGTACATGTTTTTCAATTTGTTTTTAACTACAAATGGCAAATAAACTTACCTAACCTTACATGGTGATGGGAATTTTCATTAATGCCATACTCTGGAACATTCATTGAAAGTATATCACCAATGCAGACAAGCAGGTGACGGGCCATCAAACAGAAAATGTAATCTTTAAAATATCTACAAAATTATGCTATTAAAATGTGATATGAAAGTTTTATAGTGCCAATCTAAGTAGATTGGGAAAGTAAGTAATAGTTGCAGCAGCATTTACAGTAGCCCTTTAGTAGCAGTAAGTACTTTTTATTGAAGTTTTTTTTTTTTTTCTGAAATAACCATGGTGATCATATTTTTGCAGTAACAGCACATTTAACTGATTAGACATCCAGTTTTCCTTTCAGCTCACTCAATCACTTCAAAAACCAAAACAAGACATTTTGTTCTGTCACCTACATCAATAATTTACCCTCCTCCATTAATTCATCCTTGTGGAGCCTGTGCTATGATTCTTAATGTGCTGTGTCGCCCCCTGCAGGCTGGAAAGGTGCGCAAACATGTATCGGAGCAGGAGAAGTCTGAGGAGGGCCTTGGACCAAACGTGAAGTCTATCGTGACCATGCTGATGCTGATGCTGCTCATGATGTTTGCTGTCCACTGCACTTGGGTCACCAGCAACGCCTACTCCAGCCCCAGTGTGGTCCTGGCCTCCTACAACCACGATGGGTCAGTACAAGAGGGGAGGAGTGGACGGGGGGCAGTAGAAGAGGGGGCGGTGTCTGGGGAATGTACCATCTTTAAGGAGCTGTACCAGATTTGAACAGTGCCATCAACAGTGATGGCATGTAACAAAGTAAAAGTAGTTAAGTACTGTTCTTAAATATACATTTTAGATATCTTTACTTAAGTACATTTTACAGTGGATACTTTTTACGAACTAAATTTGAGAGATGGTATACATACTTCTGCACCACTAAATTTTTGAACAGTGCTGAAATGTATAAGTATATATATAAGCTGAAAAGGCAGTAGGAGCTTTAATTTTTAACATATTTGTAGTTTGAGCAAACAAAAATATAGAAATAAGAACAGCTAGAAATCAGTTCAGTTGTTTCTGTTGAATAAAATTCTGCAAAAATCACTAGTTTTAAAGGTTTATTAGATCTCAATCTGTGCGAGAAACTTTTTATTTTACTTTACCCAAATGCTTTAATCCTTTTACTTGAGTTTTCTCCGGTATCTTCCATCCCTCCACCCATTTTCTTCCGCTTTATCCGAGGTGGGGTCATAGAGGCAGCAGTCTGAGCAGGGAGGCCCAGACCTTACTTTCCACACACACTCCCTCCAGCTCCTCTGGGGGGATCCCGAGGTGTTCCCAGGCCAGCCCAGAGACATAGTCCCTCCAGTGTGTCCTGGGTCTTCCCCGGGGCCTCCTCCCTGTGGGACGTGCCCGGAACACCTGCCATAGTACAGCAAAATTGAGTATTACTTCCACCACTGGTCAGGAACATGTTTTAGTTTAAATTGTTAGCCCTCTGACTTAGTTCTTTCTGCCACTGATATTGCACCATGACTTAGAAACAACTCTTACCTCACAGTTCTCCATTCTCTGCCCAGTTTTTGTTATTTTGTCTATTTGGAAAATGCACTGTCACAGTTAGCTGTCCAGCCACAACCACAGGCTTTGACCAAAGTTTACAAAGACGAGGGGATCTGGAGCTCTATCCTGTCTCCCTGATTTCAGAGGTGTGATTGACAGGTGGATTAAAAGATGGCGGATTAAGAAATGCTTGCTCTGTTTGTGTCAAAAACAAACACGGCTGCTTACATGTAAAAAAAAAAGGAGAAAAAACAACATAAAGGACAGGGAAACTGTATGGATTTTTTGCAGAATCAACAATGTACAAAATCCTTCCTTTTTACTTTTATTTCCCATATGTTAACCAATTTTAAACCTGTCCCATGTCCTAAATAAATGGAATTTTGGTAATTTATATCTGTATAAAAACATAACATGATGAAAAACCTGCAATAGATGTTCTTACATTTATGCAAATAAACAAGAGCTCAGCACAAGAAAGCCCACTGACATGTAAATGCATATGCCCTTGCGACCCCATGCAAAAAATACATGCAGTAAAAATAAATAAGGTATCAAACTCTCAACTGTACCTTAGGCTTGTTTACCATTAAAATTATATCACTTTATTCAAATTCAAGCTGAAAATCGCAAAACCTAGTGACTGCGCACCTACACATTTTACAAAATTTACCTCGAGGTCATGAAGCAGCTGGAACATTTTGAATACAACCTGTACTTATGAGTCTGTCACATGCGGTGTATTAGACAAATTCTTATTGAACATTGCATCCTGGGTATTTAGCTTTTCATAATTTTGTAGGTGGCAGACAGGAAGTAAAAACTGACCTTCCTTGAATTCACAAAACCACATTTCATAGAATTTAATTACGATATAATTATTTTTTCAGCAGAACGGAGGAAGCTATGAAGGCCATACCAGGGGAACTGCTCATACATATATTAATAAAAGCCAGACAATGCAGTGGGATATGAGCTTGTCACTCTGTATTCTCCGTGCATACGCCTACATCAAATTCAACATAATAGTCTTCCTCTAGCTAATTGATTGCGTGTCTATCCGTGCATATTTTTCAGGTAATTTGAGGATCTCCAAAGATGTTTTTAAGCTCAGTTTTAGTATGCACGCTCTATTTTCAGCTGTTGTTGCACCTCGTGTCAAAATATAAAATGAAATATTAATACGCTGAGCAGCCTGTCAGTGCTGTTACCTGCCAGGCTGACTACCAAAGTTCAATGCTAAATTTCTCACTGTTTTTTTTTTTTTTTTTTAATACATTATTTTTAAGACTTTCCATGCAAAACATAATCTTAAAATAAATCATAGCATGAAGTAGCATGCAGAAAAAAAAGATAAAAAGTGTAACAATTATAATAACACAACAATAATAATGTTAGTATAAAAAAGAGAGAAAAAATTATAAAAATGTAAAATGTTTGCCTCATTTGTTTCAAAAACAAAATACTACTCGTGGTTAAACATTTGATTGGTATTTCGGTGGTTTTGAGTATTACTTCTCATTGAAAGTAGTGGAAGCAATTACATTGAAATTTATGCTTCTATTAATGATATTATGTTGGTTATAGAAGTTCTAATGTGAATAAAATGTGGATTGCAAATCATGTCATACCATCTTACAAATGCCAACCGTCACATACACTAGGGCGGTGCCATTAAACACATTTTAATCAAATGAAGATCGAGTGATTTGGTCCACAGCCAGTCCTCGTGTTAGTAAAACAAGAATTAATTGATTAGAAGTCCTGTTCATGTTTAGGTCAAAAGACAAATGTATTTCTTCAAAATCAAATTAAATCAAAATCCATTAATGAAGGGAAAGTGTCTGTTAAGTGTTTATTTGCCATATCACCCAGCTATTACATATAGATTCATAGTTATATTTGTGCTAGACGAATACCTATCCATAAACTTTAAAATGAAGTCAAGCAACCATCAGTGTCACACTCTGTCAACCAGAGCATCCAATTTCAGGGATGCAAAAAGTTTTGTATATATTGACTGTTCCCAGGTGTTTTTCAAAGTTTTGTTCCACGGCATCCAAGTTTAACAAATTTTGGAGGAGGCTTTAAAAGTTTAATGGGCCTATATTACACAAAACTGACTCTTGTGAGCTTTAAACCATGTTAGAATGGTGCTCGTGCAAAGCACCATTCTAACATAGTTGTGCTTTGTATCATTCACACATTTGAGTAATCCTGTATGCTGTATCTGCATAACAGTGATTAGCTACTTTTTACCTTTTGTTCAGTAGAGATTGGCAATTCCAGAAAGTATCCAAATGATTCTATTAAAGGTGTATGGAGTTAAAAAAAAAAAAAAAACAAAAAACAAAACAGTGGTGCACTTCCTCTTTTACCACATGACATCACAAGGTGGAACAGAGTGTATTCAGTTTGAAAGAAGAACTTGGTACATATGCATACAATACTGTGTGTTAAACATCAGTGAATGAATTAAACAAAACTCAACTCCAGGGATGTTTGTGATAAGAAAACAACATTATAACATCAGAAAACATTGAAATATGTGCCCTTTAACATTGTGCATTTTTAAAGCTTTGTATCTATGCTCACTGACCTGTCTCTCTGCTTCCCCCTCCTTGCAGGTCGAGAAACATCCTGGACGACTTCCGGGAGGCGTACTATTGGCTGAGGCAGAACACAGACGAGCACGCGCGGGTCATGTCCTGGTGGGATTATGGGTACCAGATCGCAGGGATGGCAAACAGGACTACTCTAGTTGACAACAATACATGGAATAACAGCCACATTGCACTGGTGAGGCATTATTATGTATTATATGTATTATTTATTTATTATGTTGGAATATGTCACATTAATATTGTATATTTACATATTATAATGACGGAACTATTGAACATTCGATTCCAGTCAATGACAAAACCCAGCAGTGTCCAGGCATATTGAAATCCGATCAATCCTCATCCAGATTACAGGAGCTCTTGTGTTCCTACAGTGTGTAGGCATCATGCAGTGTGTCCTAAAACTGGAGAAGATCATTTGAAGAAGCCACTGCGCATCAAAGTCATCGACTTTGGCTTTGCGTGTTTCGAGAAAGAGGCAGAGCAGAAAGAGGAAAGGCAGACGCTCTGGTACAGAGCTCCAGGGAGCCTCCTCCGAGCCCCAGTCCAGTGGGCCATAGACATGTGGTCCGTAGGCGGCATTACTGCTAAATGTTTCTGGGTATTCCTCTCTTTCGAGCTAAAGATGAGCCGAAAATGATGAAGCTTATAGTGGTGACTGGGGGGCAGAGACGAGTACAACTCAGTCCTTTTAATCCCACTCACAGGATCACACAGCTGGACCACATTCATGAGAGAGACCCCCACAGCCCGCTGTTCTCCTCTAACCTCACAGGCCAACACGACTGGGTGGACTTTGTGCACCTGCTCAAACGCCAGAGACCAGAATGTGCTCCAACACCTCCTTCAGAGGGAGAGCAGTTTGGGTAGCATCAGAGCCCCAACCCCCCAGTCCCCACACCGGCAGCCTCACAAGGACAAACTTCTGCTCTCAAAAGCAAACATGAGGAGCAAGAATTGCCAAGCAAAAAGGGAAGCGTAGGCCATGAAGAGTGCAGCTCCCGAGAGGGGAAAAAGACACCCAGAGACACTTCTGTGAGCACTGCGTCCAGAAGGAGCAGGAGCTACAGCCCCAAGAGCACTGTCCACCAGGCCCACCAGTGCAGCTAGACTCACCAATGCCGTCAGGGCCACCAGGCTCACCAGGGCAATACTTGTGTCTCCTCCCCTGTCTCCTCTTCTTATGGAGGAAAGGGAGCATCGTATGATTAAGAAAACTTGACCATACCCCAATAAAAGGAGGAGTTACCAAGGTCCCCATCAGAGTACAGTGTCCACAGGAGAGAGAGCTCCTAAGGATCAAACTGAACAGACCTCTTTGACCCTTCCCAAAAGGACTAGGCCAGGGGGCAAACAGTGAAGCACCTGCTTCATTCTATTCTGAAATATTATTAAACATTCATTAGCATCTAAAAAAAGACAACATGGTGTGGTTTTGTTCAAAACTGTAACGTCGAGAGGCCATTGAAGTAGACTGGCACATTTGACAGTCAAGCCCCTGTCAGTCATCCCCAGGCAGCAGTGACTAGCTTACCTACAGTGAGTGCGCAGAGTGAGTCAATAATAGAGTGAAGCTCGGATGCATTACTAAGCTGTTGTGGTTGTTTCCCTGGAAAAGCTGGTGTGGCATTTCCATGGAAAAAGCAGGAAGAGGTTTGTAAAGATGCAAGCCTGCTCTGAGTAGGATAAAGGTAAAGTTCCAGTATTACACAAAAGTCACTCTTGAGAACTTTAATATTTACTATAATGTAGTTTCTAACTATTTGTGGGTTTCAGTTTTCACTTATAGATGATAACTTGAGGGCTTTTGCTCATTCAAACATACAATATTTCGTTTTGAATTGGTATTTAGTATGGCAACAGTGTTAGATTTAATCACTCTGAAACCCGTGAATGTCTTAAAGGTGCAGTATGTAACTTTTCTGATGGTGGTTTCTTGTCTCTTGTCTCCATGGAGATTTCATTACTTTGCCTCAGATGCTCCACAGTTTGGCATTAAACTTGTCAATCTCCAATGAGTGATTGTGACACTGCCTGGTCTAGCACTGCTGATGGATTTGTTTAATACCATACTATGGAACATCCCAGCAAAGCTCAACACCTCCATGGAAACAAGCACATAGTGGACTTTCTACCAGAAAAGTTATGTAGTGCATTTTGTGAATATAAACATGAGTAATGTGCTAATTTTGTTACAATTCTACAATATGAAGTTATTTTCTATGACTTGCTTTGGAGAACCATTATTTCACATTAGCAGTTTGTTGGTAATACTTAATCACAATTTCTCCTATTTTTATTGCTACTAACAACTTGCTAATTCTTTTTAATGTTCTCGTAGCATCTTGGAAGGAGATAAAAAAAATAAAAATTAAAAAAAGAGCACATTTTTGTCAGATTTCCTCTTCAAATTTTCCAAGGAGGCGATAATTTCCGTTCACAGTCTGTGGTAGCTCGTACTCTGCTTCTTTCTATAATTACTACATTGTGCAAAGCGGCGCTCTCAAACGGACAAGATAATCTTATTTGCCTAAAGTTTTCTCCTTGACTTTACTCCAGAGGGGGATTTCAGTTAATTGCAGTTTGAGGATTTGGGTTTGATTTTGTTCGTTAACATTTGGTCTTTTTCCTTTCTAAAGATATTAAGCCCTTACCACTTACTCCCATTGTCTGTTCTGTCCACGAGAATGAACTGAACCTTTATCAAAACCTCAATTTCCTAAAGGGGAATTTGTTGCAATTAGACATAATACAAATTTAAGCCATAATCTCCATGGAGATATTATTGCTCGGCTTGGAACGTTCCACAGCATGACATCTCTCTAGTATTTATTCATTTTCAATTGGCTTTTGCTCTTACTGTTAGTCTTTCCTCTTCATAGATCTGACTTGGCCCAATTGTGTCAACAGCTTCTCTCCACGGTGATAAATACTGTGGAACATTCCATGCGAAACAAAAACCTCAGTTGAATTATTATAGGTATTTTAGAGCAATAAAAACTCCTGTAATTGAATAAATGCAAGGTTATGCCATACTGTGAATCAGTCTATGTAAAGTATCAGGGCTGGGAATCACACTACCTCATGATTCAATACAATGCATGGCTCACAATACAATATCACAAAATGTGACATTTTTAAACCCAAATACATTTTAGAAACAATATTTCTTTGTTAAAGGTTGTATAGAGGATTTTCCAAGGAACGAGAAATCCAGCGACTGTTTGTCCTTTTTCAAATGTTGTGCATGCGTGAAACCACCCCCCCTCCCCTACAGCTCCCTACGTAGAAACGCCTCCTCCCTCCTCCTCCTTACGCCAGAAACAGGTTTGTTTCTAGAAAACAAATACTCATTGCTGCACATGACTTGTAAACAACTAACTACAGTGTTGGTTAGGCAAGGTGGAGAAGTGAGGAGCGGGGGGAGGGGGTGTGCGGACATTTCGTGTGCGTAAAAGAAGTGAGGAGCAGGGAGAAGAGCGGGGAGGGGAGGGGAGAGGAGAGGAGAGGGAGAGGAGAGAGGAGAGAGGAGAGAGAGAGAGAGAGAGAGAGAGAGAGAGAGAGAGAGAGAGCAGTGCGAGGAGATTCCGTGCGCGGAGAAGTGATGAGCAGGGAGAAGAGCAAAACGGGGAGCGGGGAGAGGAGCAGTAAGGGGTGCAGAGAAGGGTGCGCGGAGATTCAGTGCGAATGAAGCTACTACAACACGCAGCAGCAAGCGGACTCTTTCTTTGCATTGAAAATTACGTTTTCAGACATAGGATATCACATTTGTGTCTTGAAAAACGTTTGTCTAGCTCTTGGAAATAAAGTACGTTTTCATAATAAGCAGAAGTGACCTGTCCAGGAGTAATTTGGCGACCAATGCGTCAGTCTTTAGACCCTGCGTCTGCTTCAGTCGCGCCATCGCTGGAATGAATCTCCAAGAATCACCTTAGTTTGGCTTTGCTGCTTTTCCCCTTGTCTTCTTCTTTCAGCAACCTCAAAAACTGACTTTCTTTTGCGACTAACTGCTCCTGGATTCTTGTCTGCCATTGCAACAAACTTTGTGCTAACTGCGAGGAAGATATAGGTAAAAAAAGCCACTAAGAACTGTTGCATTTGTGGAGTAAACAGCGTCTGTGCGTCTTGCGTCTGTGGACTGCGTGACAGGCGTACGTAAACCACATAACGGCAGCGTGCAGGCAAGTCAGTTACGCTAGAAACGTAGGGAGATTGATTGACAGCCTGTCAGCTAACAGATAACAAGGCAGTGTCGTTATCTATTGGCAAATGTTTAGCCCCATCACGTCCAGAGTTGATGAATTTTTATTCTCTTTTTTTTGGTCATCATAATTACAAGGCTACTGCATCTCTATAATGCTATCATTGACAATTTGAAACAAAAAAAATCCTCCATACAACCTTTAAACCACTACTTGTTCAAAATTAATAGAGAATACATCTATTTTAACCATCAAAACAGTGAGTATGTCAAGAGTATTACATAAACAAGTTTCCTTCCACTAAATAAGCAACAAAATTGTCATGCAGTCACAAAGAAAAATGCTAAAAGATACCAAAAAATACTCTTGGCGATATATCGATACAGTAGCTCACGATAACGATACTGTACTAAATTTAGTATCACAATATTTCAATATTTTTGCACAGCCCTACAAAGAAATATCATCTCGTAGTACATAGTAATACACCGTTAGCAAGTGTAACATTATCATATAGAAATTGCTTTCAAAGTCGGGATGCTTTTTAAATGAACTCCCAACTATTTATTTAATCATCTATTTCCATCTATCAGTGGCATAGTTTGAACTCTGTATAACCTTGATAATGTTTTTTGAAAATTATTGAATGGCCCATAATAGTGTAATTTTCTGATCTATGTTATAATGTTGTGTATAGTTGTGTTTTGTCAAATTTGCATAATACAGGACCTCTGAACTGTGCTATAATAACTTGTATTGCTTGTGTAGGTGGGGAAGGCGATGTCGTCCAATGAGAGCGCGGCGTATGACATCATGAGGTCTCTAGACGTGGATTATGTCCTGATCATTTTCGGGGGAGTTATCGGTTACTCCGGCGACGACATCAACAAGTTTCTGTGGATGGTGCGGATCGCGGAGGGAGAGCACCCGAAGGACATCAGGGTACGTGAAGTCTGAAATGCATAATTTTGCTTTTGGATTACTAAAAAAAAAAAAAGCGTGTAAATAACAAAGGTATAGCTCTTCTTTGTTTTGGTTTCAGAGGTTGCATTTCAGTTGCGGTTCTGTGAAGTTGAGCTTGTTTGAACTTTCTGTTTTTCCTTTAATGTTTTGAACTCTTTGAACCACATGCATTTAAATACGTTTTTTATAATGATTGGCAGCACTGAGAATCAAAGGGTATCCCACAATTTCATATGATGAGTAAGTGATATATGGGTCACATGTATCACTTACTGAAGTTTGCAATAATCAATAAGAAACAAATGCGGTTTTACAAGATTATTTAGTAAAACCACAACATCCATTCCCCGTACTATCTACTTTAAAGAGGAAACTAGGCAGTAGTATAAGGATATTTTCATTTTACTGTATTGGCTATTGGCCTTAACTCTCCAGCACAGGACAATATTTTGTTTAGTCCATCCAGCTGTTTAAATGTGCATGAAAAGTATATGCATAAAGCTTTGTTTGAACAGTAGAACAAAGAGGGTCCTGTTAAAGTACACTGCTCTTTACACAGTTTGTAGTAAAACAATGTTGTGGATGATACTGAAATTTAATCTGATAATGTGGGGAAAATGACCAAAATCTGCCATATGTACCCGTTTCTCTGGATTCTAAATAATTGGTATCGGGGTATTATTATGAGCTATTAACACATAACATATTTATATGTTGAAAATGAAAATGCTATATATGCCAATATGACATTGAGTGGAGGCACTAGGTGGCGCCAGCCTGGGTAGGTAACATAGGCTTATGGTCTGAGATTTCTACAGGTTCATTCTGCTAACCATAAGAGAGTTTGAATAGGGCCTGCAAGAGATCTCTCAATTACTCAAACATGCATGGGTGACATATAAAACATGTCTTATATCAGGCATGTTTTTGATGAGGGAACATAGCAGAACACTCCAAAATTTTACATACTACCTTAAACTTTTAATTAGATGAAGTTGTGTAGAAAAAATATGAAATAAAACAACAAAATATGAAAGGAATAAGCAGTAAGAACATAAGCAGAAGAAAAGATATTTAGCCTTTTGGAAGTCATTGTCATTCATTGATTCAAAAATGCTCATGTAATGTCCTTGCAAGAATGTATTATATTTTCGTAGCCAAACTAGCCTCCAGCTTTATAGACAGTAAATCAATGCGTGTTCCTTGGAAACCACAGAGATTCTAACATGCATATTTTTACTGTCTGACACGGCTTAACAAAGGGCTGCACCAACACTGGATGTACCCTGAGTAAAATGGTCATTAACTACAGACTTTACAAAGGCTCCTCTTGAAACACACAGTCATATTAAAGGTCATATATTACACAAAACTGACTCATGCAAGGTTTAAGCCATGTTAGCTCATCAAAACATGCTGGACACATGTTGAAGTAATCTTAGTTTATTAGTCTGTCAACATCTCCAAAACTTAAAATGCTCTGTTCCACCTTGTGATGTCATGAAGTGGTAGTTTTCAATTTAACAGCCACCTTTTACCTTTTGTTCAACAGAGATTGTGGGCTGAAATTATCCAAGTGATTTTAGTGAAGGAGTCATTTAAAAACAGTGCAGCACTTCCTGTTTTACCACATGACATCAACAGAGTGTTTTCTGTCTGAGGGAAAAACTAAAAAATTTATAAGGTTTGTGTGTTAGACGTGTGTGAACGAAACAAAACACAACTCCAGACATGTTTGTGATGAACATCTTTATGAAATAGAAAACAGAAAACAGCACATCAAATCCAAAAGTGAATGTGACAGAAATGACAATTTGATAAATTTGCCTTCAGGGATACAAGCTTTGGTTTCTCTAATCACAGAAAACATTTTTAGACATGAGCTCATTAACACTGGGTTTTCTAGTTACTGTTTTATTCATCTTAATTTTCTGATGCTAATGATGTATGAATCGTCTTTGTGTCTTTCAGGAGAGCGACTACTTCACTCCACAGGGAGAGTTCAGAGTGGACAAGGCTGGTTCCCCCACTCTGCTCAACTGTCTCATGTACAAGATGTCCTACTACAGATTTGGAGAGATGCAGGTAATGCTGGTTTAGTCCTGGGTTTAGTCCTGGGTTTAGTCCTGGGTTTAGTCCTGGGTTTAGTCCTGGGTTTAGTCCTGGGTTTAGTCCTGGGTTTAGTCCTGGGTTTAGTCCTGGGTTTAGTCCTGGTTTAATCATTGTTTAGTCCTGGTTTAGTCCTGCACTATTCTTGTTGATGTATGTATAAAATGTCATTTTACATATTTGAAGGAATGTAGGTAACACCATTTAAACCCTTGTGTGATTCTGCTGTAGTCCTCTTACTTTGGCCTAGGTTTAGACCTGGTTTAGACCTGGTTTAGACCTAGTTTAGTCCTGATGTGGTCTTAACTTACTCTTGTTGAACTGCTTCATGTACAAGATGGCATATTCCGAATCTGGCGAGCTGCAGGTAATACTTGTTTAGTCCCTGTTTAGTCCTGGTTTAGTTCTGGTTTCTTTGTCCCAGTCTAGATGTGGCGTTTTTTTTTAGTTTTCACAGCACACTACTTTAGACTTAGATTTTAGACCTTGTTTAGACCCTGTGTATCTTGTAAAATTTAGATTACACGTAATTCATTAATTTATTTATTATTACTTAATTAATTAATCATTGCATTTATATAGCACCTTTCAAGACAACCAAAGAGCTTTACACTTCACTGTTCTTTCAATCCACTCTCAAACTACTATTATAGCCACCGCTCCCCTGGGGCAGAATAGCAGAAGCGAGGCAATCTGCGCCATCAGTCTCTCCGACCACCACCAGCACTCACCCACACACTCCACTTTCTTAGTAGGCAATGTGGGTGAAGTGTTTTGCCTAAGGACACAACAGTTTTTGCCACTGGCGCCCCCCTGTGGCACTTGGCACCAGCAGCCTCCCATTCAAGTTTTACCCAGGACCTGCCTTGCTTAGCTTCTGAGATTTGATGAGATCAGGCTTTGACAAGCTGGTGTGGCAACAAAAATGACACCTGTTTTGTCCCCGTCTCTGATCTTGGTTTAAACTTCATTTAGACTATCGCTGCAACCAATAATTATTCATCAAGCATTCAAAAACAGTGTTAATTGATTATATATAATATATATATTTGTTTTTATTTTGTCTTTTTTAAAACAAACCTTTCAAACTTTCCTTAACATTAAAGGTGCACCATGTAACTTTTTCTCATGAAGGTTCTGTCACCTGCTTGTTTATATGGGCATGTCATTGCTCTGCTTGGAATGTTCCACTGTATGACATTAAACAGCTCTACCTTACATTTATTCAATTACAGTTGATTTTTTAGCTCAAAACTACAGTGAAGAACAAGTATTCTGACTGTGAGTGGTGTAGGCTCTCCACAGATCTGACCTGTAACTTGTAGAAAGGTTTAATACCATACTGGGAAATTCAGGACAAAGCAATAAGATCTCCATGGAGAAAAGTATTTCACAGACACTCCACCAGAAAAGTTACACAATGCACCTTTGACCCAACAGAACTTTAATAATAATTTAACTTAGTAATTGGCCATTTAACACAAAAATAGTCAAATTTCTTCCTCCAAAATCTGAACTCAGCCTCAGATAAAACATCACAAAACAAAAAAAGACTAAAGAACTAAAATCAACAAGAAAGCAACATTTTAAAAAGGTTTTCCGGTTTTTATCCCGTTTTTCTAAATTTTGTTTTTGCTGCTAGCTCAGACCTGGTTCAACTCTGCTTTGAACTCACATTTGTCTGTTAAAAAATATATGACTTTTCAATGGTGTGCACATAACAAAGTCTTTTGATCATTTCTGTCCAGCCCAAACATTCATTTTACACCGAAAAAACGTATCTTGGTTGTGATCAAATTTAAATAGATACAAATCATGTGTCAAGTCACTGTAATAAGCAACATCAAAGTTCTGGTTGTGTTATTTTTGTACCCAGAAATAATGAGAAGGCATCAAATTGGGCTAGTTTTTCCACTGGCCCAATATTTGATCATATTCAGAAGTTCCTTAAATTTGAGCTGTAGCAACATGTGGGGTTTGGCCATTATTGTCCCTGTAGAAATAGCTTATTATTGATGGTTTTGTTTGTGGGACTCATGTTGTATTTATATTTTTAATGGCTGCAGCTGCGTAATTCTGCGCCAAATGTCCCACTTACGTTTTCTCATTTGAAGTCAGGGATGGTCATAAATAATTTTAATGGTTGTCTGTGTAAATTCCAGAGAATGTTTTGAAAAATAAAAGTAGCTGATACTAATAATAATTAGTAGCTAACTCTTTTAGAACTGTTAATCTTTTCATTTTATTCAGGATTTGGACTTGGTTTAGTCCCAGTTTAGAACAGATTTAAAGGTGCATTGTGTTGTGTTTTCTGGTCTAGGGTCAGTCAAATGCTTTTCTCCATGAAGATGTTATTGCTTTGTCTGGCATGTTTCACAGTATGGCATTAAACATTTCTATCTTCATGGAGACCAAACCAGACCAAGTTACAGGTCAGATCTGTGGAGAGGCGACCCCACTCAGTCAGAATGTTTTTCTAGGTATTTTTGTGCTATAAAACCACCTGCAATAGAATAAATATAAAGTAAAGCAGTTTAATGTCATACTGTGGAACATTCCAGGCAATGCAGTGACAGATACAGAGAAACTGGGCCCCCAACCAAAAAGTTACATAGTGCACCTTTAAGTCCTCATTTTAGTGGTCCTTATTTTGGCCTGGTTTAGATTTTAGTCCTGGTTAAGAATTATTTTTTGAGTTGATTTCGACTTAGTTTAGTTCTGATTTGTTTTTTGTTTAGCCCTGGTTAAATCCTGTTGATAATACTACAGAGAGCTCACTAACCACATGTCCTTTGATCATATTCTTCCCCTGATTAAATATTTGTAATCCGTAGTTGGATTTCCGGACCCCTCCTGGCTTCGACCGGACGAGGAATGTGGAGATTGGGAACAAAGACATAAAGTTCCAGCACCTGGAGGAGGCCTTCACATCAGAGCACTGGCTCGTCCGCATTTATAAAGTCAAACCTCTGGACAACAGAGAGCCTCTGGACCACAAGCCCCGCAGTGTCCTGCCCAAGCAGAAGTACACATCCAAAAAGGTACGCACGCACAGTTTAGATAATATCCTACTATTCAAACACACTGTTGCTGTATGATTAGCAATGATCACTCAACAGGAGAAGTGTCAAGGTGGAATCTGTCAAACTGGACTGTTGGTGTTGAGTGGCTGATGTGTCAGCGTAATTTTGTGTGTCTTAAATTTAATTAAATTTTTGGACTGCTGAAATTCATTCTGCAAACAAATTTACCCTTGGGTACTAAAAAAGAAACCTTGAGCCTAGAAAAATGCCTTACTGTGGAACATCTCAGACAAAGCATCACCAGATCGACAAGTGTGAGGCCCCAGACTTGTTTACCATAAGGACTGGTATTATACGTACACATTTTTGACGGGCTGGGGAAAGAGATGCAGCCCAAAATGCATACAACCTATGGTCTTAATTCTCACATTTGCCTGATAAATTTAGCCTATATTCTCAGGGACATGTGGTAAAATAAAAACTAAATACATTTAAAAATATATCATATTTCTCTGTGGTGCCCGGGAGCAGATGTCTTGCAGCCCGGCTTAGGTCCCTGGTTTGGTGTTTGGTGGTTAACTGGAGACTCTTGTGCATAAGTCTAAATTTGACTCAGTGGGACCCTTTGGCAGAAGAGATATCTAATATGTACTGTACTACAGATAAGTACTATGTGAATGGGACCCTCCTGATCAAACCCTGACAAATTAATATGCAGCTGGTGAACTGAACTGTGGAATATAAAAAAAATAAAATAAAATAAAAAGCAATAGCAATTCCAGTTTTCTCAAATGAATGGAATACCTTTTTTGTCAGTGAAAACAATTAAAATCCAATTAATGAGTCTCCATTGTTAAAACAGTGCCATTAAAAGCTAAAGTGAATTTAAAACAGCTAAAATTCTAATTAATTTGAAGCTACTCTGTCAGTCCTTCATAATATATCTGTTTAGTTTTGTTCCTCAGTCTTTTGTTAATTTCATGAGAAGAATGTGAATGCGAACTTATTATTAAGGAAAGATTTATTAACTGTGTAGTGCAATATATGAGCATTTATTTACCTGATTACCTGGTTTTACATTTTTTCTACGGTCTTAAAAACATGAAAATCAGAACTGGTTCATCTTAAACGGTTTGCCGTGGTCCAAAGTTTTTCCTCACTTACCTTAGTTCAGAGCTTCTTATTTATCCACCGCATTGACTTTTTCAGTGCAATTGCTATGATGCTAATGCTCCACGACTAGCATGCCAAGACACAGTTCCTGATTACTGGACAATTAACCACTTTCTAATGCAGACAGTACACAGCAGACTTATTTTTACTTCAAGAACTGTTTATACAAGATATCTGTTCTTGGGCAAGACACATTTGGCTTAAATACATGGGAAACAATCAGCAAGTACAGCACCTGTTTTTCGAGTTTTGTTTTGCTTCATTCACACATATTTGACACACAAACCTCATTACATAACCCGTATTTAGGCTGAGTTCCACCTTGTGATGTCATGTGGTAATACAGGAAGTGCTCCACTACATTTTTAAACACCATAGACTAGAATCACTGGGATAACTTCAGTGCTGGAATTGTCCATTTCTACTCAAAGAAAGGTAAAAGGAGCTGTTAACTCAAAAACTACCGCTTCATGATATCACAAGGTGCAACAGAGCATTTTGAACTTCCGAGATGTTGACAGACTAATGACTATTACTAAGACATGTGTGAATGAAACAAAACACAATTCGAGGTATGTTTTTGAGGAGGTAACAGTATTATAACATGGATTAAAGCTCACAAGAGTCCATTCTGTGTAATATAGGACCTTTAAGTTGCATTTATAGTCATAGTTGTACAGAAAATATATGATACATATTTGTATTTTTCAGACGGCAAAGAGGAAGCGTGGCCACATCAAGAACAAGCTGCTGGTTAGAAAAGGCAAGAAACTGCAAAAAAAGTAGAAGGTAAACTTTTTTTTTTTTTTTGGACAAAACTAATGTAAGAAAACCTCGAACAACCAATGAAGAAGGACCCAGGAGCTGCAGCATACCAGCTCTGAACAGGCACTCTGCCCCCTAGTGTCCAGGATGCAGCGTCACACCTGGTTTGGACCCAGAAGTGCTATGTTTTGAACTCGATCTTTGTTTTTCTCATTTTGTTGTTTTGTTTTTTTGTACTTGAATGTGTGGTGACGAGGCATAGGGCTGCTCTCATTCACTTTTTGGTTTAACTACTTATCAGTACGAGGAGGGAGGAGGAACGCACCAAAGACCTGTCGACCTTTGAACTTTGGCACATGTGAACTGTTAAAATGGAGGATGGCGAGGAGTGAAGACTGTTCCTGACGCGTGTACAGAGATATGCGGCATGGAGGAACCTTTGCTTATGTGTTTATCTTCTTTTGGGCTGCACAAGGTTAAAAATCAACTATTATCAATTCTTCTAGTTAATATGAAAGTGTCTTATTACTTTCACTCAACTACAAAACCCTTATAATGAATTTCATAATATAAATAAACAAATAAGCTTCTAAAAAGGAAACTGACCCTTTTTCTGACTTTGAGAGGTTGATGGTTTGCATTTTTGCAATCATCCAAACCAAATGACTCAAGTTTTCAATTCAAATAAGAGAAAACCAAGACTAAATATAAACCAAACCAAGTCTAAAATGAGCCTTGGATCATAATGTAAATTTAAATAAAACAAAACAAAAACTTAAAAAATCACAGTTTGGCCTATAATAATTTGTAAGTTCAGCCCTAAAATGTTTATCTTTGACAAAAAGATGAAACCTGTGTGGACTTGTTCTCTTCCTGCGCCCTTGTGGTTGAAGTTGGTACTGTATGTAACTCAACTATATTAAAATTAAATCTTGATTGACCTATTACTTATTTTATTAAACTAAAATTCAGTTTTACTAATTTACTATGTAACTTTTTAAAAACACTGTCTGCTTGTCTCATGGAGATGCTGTTAGTTTTCCTAGAATTTTCCACAGTATGGCATTAAACATGCCTATCTAGCATGTGAAGCCACCAAGCCAAGTTACAGGTCAGATCTGTGGAATGGTGTACCCGCTCACAGTTTGGAAGACTGTTTTTTAAGGCGTATTTTTAGCAGTAAAACACCTGTAGTGAAATAACTGATACATTTAATGCCGTACTGTGGAAGAGTCACGATAAAGAAAAAACATCTCCATGGAGACGAGCAGGAAGCAGACCGCCCACCAAAAAGTTACTAGTCAAAACAAAACAATTTTAACCAGAATATTGTCATCTATTCCACTTAGATACTGTGTGCAGCCCCTCTTCTCTCCTACTTATTTTTCTGTTCTACTTTTTCTGTTTAATAAATGCAAAATTGGCCTAAAATGTGTAAATATGTTGTGTAAAGAAATGTCAAAATCAAAAATAATATATTGTGTTTCTATGGTGATTTTTTTAATGCTTTTTTTCTTTCCCTTAATCCTTTATTTTGCGTTATGTTCGATAGCAACTCAAATCCGTGAATGCAATAATTCTTGTACAGAGAGAAGCGTCTTTGTGAGAGGATTTGTGGATCGAATGTGAATTTTTACAAAGTTTAATTTCGTCCTTTTTCATAAAATACATAATAGATTGTACATTTTGCTGCTAGGATTTTTAAAAAGACAAGACAAGCAAGATGTTAGGTGTTGGGAATTGTAGTTCTAATAAATTAAGCCTCCCAGTCTGCAGGGGGAGCTCTCTGTTCTGTGAGCAAGCCTAGTGCCTCATGGCCGGTCTTCATGTTATTTTAAAAATGCTCTTCTTTCTATATTTGTGGGACAAAACTGGAATTGTTCAACTACTGTTTGAAGTTGATCTGAAAGTAAATGTATTTTTTTGTTTGTTTTCTTTTCTTTTTTTTCACTTTTTGTTATTTGTAGGAAAAAATATTGAAAAGTTTTGAGTTGTAAGAGCTGTGTCCCAATACTGCATCTTTAGCTTGTAGTTTGAATTAGACTAGTGGAGTTAAATTTGTCTAAAAGCGTCAAGGGTTTTCATAAAATTGACAATTGTTAACATTTTGTGTGTGTAAAAATTAAATTATATCCTTGAATCCTTATAAAATTTCACTTTTTAAATACTCATTAAGCTATTTTTGGCCTATAGTCGCTTGCGTTTACTCCAATTACATTTAAATTTCCTATATCTTATAATGTTTTTCAGTATTGCAAAAACAGGAGCAAAATGTAAACAAAAAAATGAGGTTTTACTTAAATATTATCATAAACATAAAAGTAACTAAACTGCACTATTTGGAAATTAAACAAGGCAATAGGTGTCTGCGTTAAGAAGTCTCAAATAAAAGGTTTGCAGATGCCACCTTCTGGGGAAACGCTGTCATTACATTGAAACTGGTACATTTATTTCAATATCATACGCGTTTTTCTTGGTGAATTAAATTAAATAATCTTACACTGTAAAAGGTAAAATCTTAGTAAGTTCAGGTTACTCAAATTAAGAAGATTTAACTTGATTTGAGTAGATTTCACTTTTAAATTATCTACCAATCGTCTTTTTTTTTATTCAAACGGCACACAGTTTTGTTTCTTATTTCATTAAGAAAGTGCAGAGTTTTATCCTAAGTGTAACAAGATGTATTTTCCTATTTTAAGTACAAAAAATCTTGTTCCATTTGTAGATCATTTTACTTGTTTGAAATTTACTCAAACCAAACCACGTTACAGCTCAGATCTGTGGAGAGGCAACCCCACTCACAGTCAGGTATTTTTGAGCTATAAAACCACCAGTAATTTAATGTTTAGTACGTGTTATACTGTGGAATATTTGAAGCAAAGCAGTGACATATCCATAGAAACAAGCAGGTGACGGATCCAAAACTAAAAAGTTACACAGTGCAAACTTCTGTATATTTTTCTTTTTAAAATCCTGTGAGTTATAACTACACAGTAATATTTCAAACTATTATATTAGGCCTAAGCTAGAATGTGCTTTTTCACTTATTGTTGTTGTCCAAAGTGTTATAAAAGTTAATATTTGGGACACAGCTCTCATCATTTCCACGTGAATCTTATGGGCACTGCATTTTGTTTCGGTTTTTAACATGTTATCACTAATGAATACTTGTACATGCACGCTTAGGCAAAAAAAAAAAAAAAAAGTTTTAGTTTATCACTTTGCAATGAGTCAAAAGCAAAAATGAAAAGTTTTTGTAAATCAGTTTAAACAGGACATAAGCATCAGTTGTGTTTCGTGTTTCTTTACAGTTAACAGCTTAGACAGTTTCACAGTAACGCCTGGAGAGGTTAAACCAAGCCTTAATGTTACATACAGGTGGTGTCGGTCATATTTTTACATCGTGTTTCATTGTGTTTTGTGTTATTAAAGATCTTCCATCATTGACTTTTACGTTTGAGCTCAAATGGTACAACTCTCACTGTCTCACTGTTCAAAGTTTACGTTTTAACTTTTGTTCTGTCATTATTAAATATACACTTCAACGAACAAGAGAGTCTGTTTTATTTTTTATTTATCTTTAAAGGTATACTATGGAACTTTTCAGCTCAATGGTATGTCATCTGCTTGTTTCCATGGAGATGGTATTGCTTGGAATAGTACACAATATGGCATTAAACTTGTCCATTTTACATGTAAAAAAAAAACGTATACTGCGAAAAAAAAGAAATACTTTGATAAACATGCGTTCTTATTGTGACCTGTGACAGATCTGACCTGTCGCTTGGCTTGGTGGTAGTATTTGCTTGTCTCCATAAAGAAATACATTCTAAGATTAATGCCATATTGTAAAACATTCCAGGAAAAACAATGTGCAGAAGAAGATGACTGATCCTAAACTTCTGCACTGCACTTAAAAGCTTTATATAATGCAAAATTGACTCTTGTTTAAGTCATGTTCCCTCATCAGACACATACCTTTAATCCTTTATTATTAGTTTGTCTACATCTCTAAATCCCAAAATACTCTGCTTCATCTTGTGATGGCATGAAGGTGATGTTTTCAAGTTTTATCCTTTGTCCAGAGATTGATAATTCTGGGTCTGAAATCCAAATGATTCCAGTGATGGTGTGTGGGGTTTGAGGGAAGAGGTCAGCCTAAATATGCAGCATTTGTGTGTCAAAGATGTGTTTGACCACCATACCTGGAACCAAAAATATGTGCTTTGAAAAGTGCATAAGCAAAAATTACACTTACATTTAGGACTGAAATAATTTACTGTTGTTACAAGTTGAACCACTGGATGGCAGCATTAGCCTTTTACTTTACACATTGGGAATCTTCGTCTTTCTCTGATCTATTTAATTCCCTTTACAGACGCATTTGGCTTGTAGTTTATAATTTAAATTTTGAGTGAGGTATGGGTGGGTTTTATTTTATTTTATTTATTTTTTCAGTTTTTGTTTACGTTTTGTAAAATATTTAAATCACTAAAATAATAATAATTTAGATATTGGTTCTTATTTTAACATGTGGTTAATACAAGACATTAGTAGGCAATAAAGTCTCTGGTCTCCAACAAAGCCCCAGTAACAAAACAGTGTCTTTTACATTTAATTCAGTAGAGTTTGGTAATACCAGGGCTGAAATCATCCAAATGATTTTAGTGAAGGTGTATGAAGTTTAAAAACACAATGGAGAACTTCCTGTATTACCACATGACATCACAAGGTGGACCAAGGTGTCTTCTGCTTTGAGAGAAGAGCTCAGCCTAAATATGCAGGATTTGTGTGTGAGAATGAAACAAAACAGAAGTGTTTTTGTTTAAGGAAACGATGTCATAACACAGATCAGAAATAGTGTAATGTGGGCCCTTTCAGGAGTGGAATAAGACATTGTTAGCGTGTTATCTGTCTTGAAAAGATGAAAATTCTTTGATGGTATAAGGTGTATGTACGTTTCACCTCAATATGGTTCACATGAAACTACTGGAAATGAAAAATGTATGACTTCCTTGTTTAAATTTACATGAGGCACAGCCAGTGTTGACCGCTTGAAATGAGGGCATCCTATATGCAATAAATGTCCACATCCTTGGAAAACGGCTACAGTAATCTTTTGTAACATCTGAGGAACAGCTTGAATAAAAGTACAATAGATTTAAATTTTAACTGTAATGATAATACAAAATCTGATGGACTTGTTATTAAAATAAGTAATTTTTAAAGGTCCTATATTACGCAAAATTGATTCTTGTGAGCTTTAAGCCACATTATAATGCTGTTACCTCATCAAAAACATACCTGGAGTTGTGTTTTGATTTATTCACACATGTTTAAGTAAATTAAGCAACCACGGGTGTCAAACATAAGGCCCGGGCCCTCGGCTGATTTTCTTCTAAAATATTTTAATTATATTTTCTGTTAAAATATTGGTAATTTTCTACGCCGCTCAGCATAGCAGCGTCTCCAGTGCTTCTGTGCGTATCCGCCTCACACCAGAGCAGCACAAATGAAGACTTGTCTCTTTCCAAACGCTTAACTTAAAGGACGATCGTTTTGACTGTTGACCATGACACCCTCATCAGAAAAATGTCCAACATGAGAAAAGTGGAGCCGAGTGCAGGATTTTCCAAGAAAAACTGACTTATTCCTATTTACATACAAGTTAATGTTAAAACATTGTGTTGAAATTGTATTTTTCTTAAAGTTTCAAGTTGTTCATAATATAATATTTTGTAAAAGAAAGAGTTCATTAATTAAAAAAGATTTCTGTAATAGATTTGCGTTTCTCTGCACAAATATTTGAACTTATTTCTATTTTTGGGGTATATATGCCATGAGTTTTGTGATCTAGCCCCTTTAGGATCAAAGTAGGTTGGATTCGGCCCCGGAGCAAAATGAGTTTGACACCCCTGTGGTAGACCATCACAATATATCAAATTAAAAGTCTCTTTGCTTAAATTAAGAGTTATGGTGCAGCAATAACTAAAAAAAGGCAGAGGGAACTACGTAGACCATGATCCTTTGCTCTATTTCAGTGTAGACTATATGAAAAAACAGCAGTTCTAATATTCCATAGCTCAAAATGCCTCAATAGTTTTCAAATTAACAGCTACTTTTACCTTTTGTAGAGATTGGCAATTCCAGGTCTGAAATTATGTTTTTGAGGAGATAAAAACATTATATAACATGGCTTAAAGCTCACAAAGATCAACATTGTGCATAATAAAAATAATTAAAAACATCACAGCAAACATTTCTGATAAATACTCAAAGGTCTTTATTGTTCTTCATCTAAAGTTGCGCTACATCAGAATATATCCATTCATGAAAAACTGTCTAAAACCTGTTTTAGTTCTGTGTAAGGCTTATAAATGTGAAACAAAAATATTAGTTTAGTCTTTCACTGAGGCTACTGACCTGCACCTGGTTTTAGTACAATTAAACAGAGAGAATAAGGCAGTATTAACAACTGTATACAGACAATATCGTGTAAATAGTCAAACTGGGAGTGCGAGTCTACTAAGAACAGAACGATCTTATTTCAACACCAACAAAGTCAACTTCAAATGTTTAGAATGACACTGAATCAGAGGTAGGTGATGACAAAAATATTATAGCGTTGGTCGATTTAACAAAGCTTAAAGGTACACGGCGTGACTTTTCTGGTGAAGGAGAACCTGCTTATTTCCATGGAGATGTTATCGCTTTGCCTGGAATGTTCCACAGTATGACATTAAACAGATCTGCCTTACATTTATTCAATTACACGTGAAAAACAGATCTGTAACTTGGTCTGGTTTGGTCTCCATGAAGATTGAAAGCTTTAATGCCATACTGTGGACCATTCCAGATGACACAGTAACATCCCCATGGAGAAAAGCATTTGACAGAACCTCCACCGGAAAAGTTACACAATGCAGCTTTAAAGAAATGCCGCCATGTTAAAATAAATATTGTGTTTGTAATAGGACCAAATACATAATGGAACAAGCGTGTTGATGTGCTAAATACATTCATAATAGAAATACATTAATAGAAAATGATGAAAGATTGGGACTGTTACCATAGCAACTGACAATAAAAAAAAAATCTACCTTCTGAATGGTGTAAAGTCCTCAAAATGGCGCTCAAACCCATGAATAAAAGTGAATCAGCTGAAAGGACATTAACAACAGATAACTGAAAACTATTGTTATATCACTGTATAAAACACTATTAGGCTATTACAATATTACAATTAAATAAACAAATGCAATTTTAGGTCCTATATTATGCAAAACAACTTTTTATAATGTAGTTTTCATCATCAAAAGGCTCAGAAGTCAGGGGTATTTTTACTTGTTTTACATACAAAGTAAATATAAATTATAAAACATGTGATACACTGTGTAACATTTCTGGTCGTCTCCGTGGAAATGTTATTGCTTTGTCTAGAATGTTCCACAGTATAGATTAAACATATCTAGCGTGAATTAGACAAGCAGGTTACAGCACTACACTACATCACAGTTCAGATCTGTGGAGAGTCGTCCCTATTCACAGAAAGATTTATGGTATTTTTGAGCACCCGTAATGAATAAATGGTAGACGAGTATGTATAAAGTCACTGTGGAACATTTCAGGGAAAGCAATGACATCACCATGGAGACAAGCAGACAGCAGACCCTCCATCAGAAAAGTTACATAATGCACTTTTAAATGATTAATGGTTCTCTACATGGACAACAAAGGCGAAACCTAACCTAGTTTTTGAAAAATCCAGAATAAAACGTATTATAGGACCTTGATAATTGGCTTTGATAATAAACTTATATATTTTGACTAGTTTCCCAGTTGGGTTATGGCTGCACTGCTTTTCATGGCTCCACATTTTTCAGAAACAAAACATTCATGGTACCAAAAACAGTTTCATGTAGTTATGGCGTTGTATAGAGTAATAATCTATAACTACACTTTTAATATCCTTAACCAAAAGAGCCACAATGAACAAATACTGTAGTTTATAAAGAATAATTCAGGCTAAGAAACTCTAACCATAACCTCTTAGTTAAAGGTGCACTGTGTAACTTTTCTGGTAGAGGCTCCACCATCTACATGTTTCCGTGACAGGGTTATTGCTCTACCTTGAAAGACTTATGTTTCTTGCATTTATTCCTCCTGTGAGCGGGGTTGCCTCTCCACAGATCTAACCTGTAACCTGGTATCATCATCTGTTCCTGTCTATATGGCTATACATACGTTTAATGGGATACTGTGGAACTTTCAAAGCAAAGCAATAACATCTCCATGGAGACACTCAGGTTGTGGACCCTGTATCAGAAAAGTTACATAATGCACTTTTACGTAGTTACTGAGCCTGGATCATTCTTAGTAAAGTATTTGTTCATTATATTCATGCTTTATTAAGGTTAGTTAAGGTGCAGTTATTATAAAATTCTAAGACTTTTCTAATCGGTGAAAAGTAAAGCTACAGAAAGGAATATTCTTCTGTGATAATAAAAGGGAACAGATAAAGATGCTCTATGTAAATTTCTTGTTGGTGGTGCGTCACCTGCTTGTTTCTCTGGATATGTCATTGCTTTGCCTGGAATGTTCCACAGTATGACATTAAACAGCTCTACATTACATTTATTCAATCACAGGTGGATTTTGTGGTTAAAATACCAAGAAAAACAGGCTTTCTGACTGTGAGCGGGGTCGCCTCTCCACAGATCTGACCTGGTTCAGTCTCCATGAAAATAGACAAGTTTAATATCATATTGTGAAACATCGCATTGGAGAAAAGCATTTGACAGATCTTCCACCGGAAAAGTTTCACAATCCACCTTTAAAGGCGCATTGCGTAACTTTTCAGGTGGAGAGTCCGAAACCCAGGGATGGACTAGGACCAAAAAACAGCCCTGGACATTTTAACCCACAAATCGGCCCACGAAAAAAAATTGAGGACGGTCTTTTCCAGATGGCACAGTTTGCTAGTGCGCCCCTGCCCAAACCTGTTTCTTTTGAAGGTACTATTACCTAGAATGTTCCACAGTATGGCATTACACTTATTTATCTCTAAGGAGACAGAAGGTGACACCAGAGGCCCAAGTTTCACGTCAGATCTGTGGAGAGGCGAGCCCACAGTAAGAATGGTCAACAAAAACCCAAGTGTTATTGAGTAAACGCAAGCTGGTCATGTTAAATGCCAAACTGAGACATTCCAGACTAAACAATAACATCTCCATGGAGACAAGCAGGTAGAAGAACCTCCACCAGAAAAGTTACACAATGCACCTTTAACACGTTAATGAATCATTCAAATGCTGCACGATGAACCAAAAGCTCTGAACCAAAACGGTGTGATCACATTTGTACATTTATATAAAACACTAGTGGTGAACTTCAGTACTGTGCATGTGCAAAAAAGGCCTTGGCAAAGTGAAAAATAGAAATACTCTAATGTCAGTTACTTCAATAGTCTTTAACTCTGTGTAGAAAAACTCCAGTCCAACACAGTACTTCTTGGATTCCTTTGGCACCTTGTTGTCCTTACAGGGTGAATCCAATTTCTTCAAAACTTGCTTCGGTAAAGGCTGCATCCCATTTCTGTACATTTCTCTCCTGGGCGATTTCTAAATTCTTAAATCCTGCCCACTGAGATGCACGTTTTTTCTAACGGCTCTCTTTACCTCACTCGAGATGATTGACAGCTGAGTAATTGTGTCTCCAAGCTAACTATTATTCTTTTATTAAAATAGTAAAATATAAAATAAACATCATATTAAAATTCAAATTAATTAAACTCAAGACTACTCAATTGTTTATGTGTAAAATACTTCAGTTTTCATAGTTGTTATGCCTCAAAATTAGCATTAGCGTTAGCACTGAGACACAAATATCTCTCTTTCTAAACACAGAAGAGTCCTCCACTCGAGTATTCATTTTATATACTTGTACTTTTTAACCTGCTCACTGCTCACAGTTCCCTGTTCACTGCCTGATCTTTAAATATTTATAAATTTTAGCATGACTCAGCAAAAAAAAATAGACATACAAGTGGACAGGAAGTGGTGATGCTAACAGTGCGGTTGCCTAGCGCTGTACAGAGTCTACTGAGGAGGCAAGTGAACAGAAATAGGATGCGGCCCAAACCTATACTTCTTTATTCTCCCATTAGAAACACCTCTTCTAAGAAACGGAATCGGGTCAGTGTCCACATCTCCAAAGGTGGTTCAAAGGTCATCCAGGTTGACCTCTGAAGAAGCAGCTTGTGTTTCCGTCTGAGAGGAACAGCGCCACCATCAGGTTGATTTCCACAGAGGAGTGTTGTAGACCCAGCCTTCACCCTGAAACACAACCATACAACTTATCTATATTTGTCTCACAATTGGGGGAAATAGTTTACAGTGTTATCTTAAAAGTGGAATTTCAACGACATTTTTGTAAGTTAGTAATGAGAGGAATTTCCACCAGAGTCATAAAATTAAACTTTTATTGCACAGTGTATTCATGGATAGAAACCTAAAGCTTTTTTGTATTATGATGTAAGGCATTTACTAAGACCATATAAAAAATCTTGTAAAGGTGGACTATGTAACTTCTCCTAGATGTGATTGTTTGCCTGGAATGTTTCACAATGTGGCATTAAATTTATCCATCTCCATGGAGACAAGCAGGCGATGCCACCAGGCCAAGTTACACGTCATATCTGCACACAGTGCACATTTAAGTAATGTTAGGATTAAAGATTTATAACTGTTACTATTTTAGTCTCCTCCATAATCCTGAGCTTCTTCAGTATAAATAATTCCACTGAACGTTAATAAACCATAACGTCATAAAAAAACTGGAGTCTGCAGACCAAAATCAAGTTGGAAAAGTAATTGAATAGGAAATGTAATTATTAAATACTTCAAACTTTTTCTGTTGTAATAGTAGTGGTAGCAGTGTTTCAATTCTCTTTATCCTGCTTTATTCAAGGTTAGTTCCAACAATAATGTAAAAACAATACATAGCACTTGTATAGCTGTTTTCTTGTTCTAGGCTGGTCTAAGATTTAAAGACCCTTTACCAGATTTTTCCCATGTATTTAACCTATATATATATATATATATATATATATATATATATATATATATATATATATATATATATATATATATAATATAAGTATTAACAGCTAATGAGATCAAAATAAAATAAGTCTGTATCTAATTATAAAGCGTTTTATTGTCCAAAAATCAGGAAGTGCATAGTTAGCATGCTAGTTCTTATTAGCTTTAAGAGCAAAACTCCACTCTGGTCTCTGGAGAGTTATAAAAGCTTATAAACTCATCGTGGTGAATACTTAGGATGCTCTAAATGCATGAGGTAAGTGAGGAATAACTTGAACTGTTTTTATGTTTTAAGACAGAATACATCCGCCACAGCGCCTTTAACCTGGTTCATTTCTAAGGTCTAAAAATATCTTGAGTATGTTGTGTCCTGTTGCCATGGTACCTCTTTAGTGAAGTATTTTGGGGTCCAGGGTTTGTTGTTGGCATTCCTCTGTTTCTCTTCGCTCCGCTGCCTCTCCTCCAGTCTGTGCTTGTGCTCCGTGGCTTCGTCTATATTTCCTTCCTTCAGAGACTTGGTGACGTGCTGCCACAACCTCCTGAACAAGCAAATACAACCGGGATTAGAAATGAGTCATAATATATTTTGTAGAGGCTAATTTTAAGGTTAGGATTAGGGTTAGACTTCTTTTGCTCTTTGTAACTAGGTTCTATATTACACAAAACTGACTCTTGTGAGCTTTAAATCATGTTATAATGCTGTTACTTCCTCTAAAACATACTTGGAGTTGTGTTTTGTTTCATTCACACATGTTTAACACATTCAAACATGGTTTAAAACTCACAAGTATAAATGTTGCGTAATATATGACCTTTAAAAGAGTTTACTACTTTTGTGTTGTTGTTTCAGTGGCATAAACAGACTCAATATTATTGATATTTTCTGTAGCTGTACACCAGACTTGAACAGCTTTTCCATGACAGATGAAAGAGAACCTGACCTGGACTCGGTGCGGTTTTGCTGGTCCATGGGCCGGAGCTTCTTCTTGGTCACGGGGAGTTTGTTTGTGTCCATGACTTTGGTGTCTCCGCTGCTGTAGGTGAACTCCAGGGTCCCATTCCACTCACCCTGAGCCTTACACACAATGGTGTTGGTCGGGTTGTGTTTCACCTCCGCTGTCACTCTGGGCACAGAAGCAAAGCAAATATACGTTTAATATTATGTACATAGTCATATTTCTTGGATTACTGTGTAAAGTATACACTTCCAGTCTTTTTCATGCATGTTTCTTATTTATTTCCATGATTATTTCACTGTAGATTCTTACTGAAAGCATCAAACATATGAATGGATGCATATGAATGTAGTAAACAAAAAAATAACTCAAAATATCTGAAGAAATATGTAAAAATAGCCACTCTTTGCTTTAAACTTTTGGCATTTCTTTACCCTAACTGCTGCAAAGTAAAAACCATTGCAGAAGCTCACTGAGAGAAGGCCAAGGGTTTGCAGCTCTGTCAACAAAGCAAAGGGTAACTACTCTGAGGATTTGAATGTAAAATATAAAACATATTTAGTGTAGTTACAGTATTTCACTTTTCTTTGCTAGATAATTCCATACTTTTTGCATGATATGTTTAATGTCTTGTGTGTACAGAAAAAAAACATTGAATGAAGAGGTGTCCAAATATTTGACTGGTAGTGTATACATATTTTACACATTTTGCATCCTTATTTATCTGACTATAACCTTTTGTGTGTTAGATATGGTCAAAACTCACATTATTTGCAGTGGCAATTTGATCTGCTTGACTTGACAAAACTACAAATGAACCACTCTACAAAAATCAAGTTGGATTAGATGTGGGAGATAAATCCAAACATTAATAATCCATTTGTTTTGGAGACATACAAAATGTAAATGTTGAGTATATCATGTTATATTAAATTATTATATCATCAGAATGGCTGCAAAAAGAGTAGAGAAAAACAATTGTCTAGATAAAATGATGGTATAAAGTGATATTTTACATTTTCAGGTTCATTTTATAATTCCTCATGGAGCGCTGTAATATCATTTGGTTATCTTCATCGAGAAATGTATATAAGGATATTGCTTTTTGTCAATACTGCCTACTCCCACGTCTTATATATCAAAATATAAATAAATAACCCTTATCTGAAACATGAAAACAAACTATCATACATAAAAACATTTGCTTACACAAACTTCTATTATTTTCTACTCTCCCAAGGGGTCATAGTCACTAGAAATTAAAAAGTTGTACGTTGAAACTTTAAAATGCAATGACAACATGCGAAGCTAACCTCTTGCCCTGAAAGTGTGTATGATGTAAGATGTAAATGCACCAGGAGAACACTTCTGACCTGTGGACCTTCCCTCCGTAGAAAGGTTTGGTGTGAAATGTGACCGTTGCAGAATATCCACTTTTGGCACAGCTGATGGAGACTTTTCCCCCGAGTTCGACCCAGGGCACAGTGAGGATGGAGCGGGCATAAGCAGAGGGCAAAGTGAACACGTACTCCTCATCATGCTCCAGCAAATATAACACACCTGAAAAAGAGACATTGCATTTTGAAGAGGTGTTTTTTAAATTGTTATTTGGACAAGTACAGACTGATGTTACTGTCACTGTTTTTACATTAAAGGCACATTGTGTAACTTTTCTGGGCTAATTTGTCTGGCATTAAACCGTTCTAGCTTCATGGAGACCAAACCAGGCCAAGTTACAAGTCAGATCTGTGGAGAGGGAACCCTGCTCACAGTCAGAATACCTGTTTTTTCAATGTATTTTTGAGCTATAAAACCACCTGTAGTTGAATAAATTTAAGGTCTGTTTAATGTCATACTGTGGAACATTCCAGGCAGACCAATGACATATCCATAGAAACAAGCAGGTGACAGACCCCCAACCAAAAAGTTACACAGTGCACCTTTAAGGCTCAATACTCCACGGTAATGATAAAAAACAAAACAATTTTTAGTACAACATAAAATATAAGACAAAATAGAAAATTTTAAATTAAAACATTCATGAAAGGGTCAACTTCGTCCTGTTTTTTGATAGGTACAAGTTTTAGTATTAATTGGCACCGATTAGTATTTGAGTAACTATTTCTGATGATGACTACAGTGGGTAGAAGGACGCTGAGGTTAGAGCTGCCAAGAGGGGTGTGAAATTTTACACTGAGAGTCAATATTGATACTTTGCAGTGTTATGATGCTGGGGGTGTTCTAGATGTGTCTCTAGGGTGGAATGTTCAGCAGTTACCATGGTGATACAATAAGCAAACACTGGCAATTTTTTTTTTTAAATGGTCAGAAAACTCAAGAAAAAAATACAAAATGGATTTTAACAACACTTTTTTGAGCCTGTGTTCAATCCCAACATTCATGGGCCCGTTTAGGTGTTCAATAATTAACAAAAAAACTAAAACAAAAAAATGTATGTGTGTGAGACTTGTTTAACAGCACATATCATCTCATCTGTTGTGGTTCTAGTTAAATCAGTTCTTTCTGGTCAGATTGTGTTAAACAAAGCTCAGATTAAAGTCTAATTTGAGTAATAGTACTTCAGACAGAGCATAGCCTCCAATTAGCATCACACCACAGGGAATTTTTGATGACATTAGCTGCACATTTACCAATTAGTGGGAGTCATAACTGGCCTGTTAGCGCTGCTATTTGGTCGTGACATATGTAATACATTGCTAAAATTCCCAAATCCAGTAAGAAGACAATAACTTCTTTCCCCTTGATAAAATTCACCGAACATTCTCTTTGTTCAGGCTTTAAATCCTCAATCTCGGGAATCGTGGCCAACACAGAATGTATGGCTCTTTGCTGATTGGTCAGTGACCAAACTCGCACTTGCAGGGTTCTTGTAAACCATCTAGTGTATTCTGATTCCTGACCTAGTCGCTGGAGAGAAATGAAATTAGTGGAGACACTAGGTGGTGTCAGCCTGGCTAAGTCATAATGTCATTTCAAAAGAAAAAAAGTCAATTATTTTGAACAAGTTTGTGTTCATAAAAACTGAAACCATGAAAATCCACATGCATAGGTTAATGAACTACTTTTCTACTTAAATTGTTGTATTATTTTATCACTATTGTCCATTTCAGATTTTGTAATGGGAGATGGTTGCTTGCTTGGTTGTTTTGTGTGTCTCGGTTTGAAAAGTTTTGAGAACCCACAGCCAAAAGAAAGACAAAAGAGGAAATGGTATGTGCAGTGAAATGAGGTCAATTTTGTTTTTGAATTTTGATGAGAATTTTGAACTATGAAACCATCATCGAACTAACCCTGGATACATAGAAAACGTCTAACCATCTTTACTTTATATTGATTCAAATATATTACTGTTTAGCCTGTTTCAACGCTCACCTAATCTAAAGTTATTGCCCCAAACTGAATTCATGTGATGCAAATTGAAGCCAGCTTTCCTTCACAAACCACTGCCTATGACACACTGTTCACATTTTGTTCAAGTGGATAATCTAATCTGATATCATTAACCTGTAATCTAATCTGTTTTGGTATGTGGCATCTCAAACATCTGCCTTCACTTCCTGCTTCTGATTCTCATTATATAAACATATCGAGCTTGTGCATAATTAAGCAATAAGTAGAACAGATTAACTTTTCATGTAATTAGTTGTGCATTATGAATAGCAATATTGTTATAAAGAAGAACATTTTTGCCTTGAGTACTCAACTTTAGTAACTAGAATACTTTAGAATACTTAATTGCATTCATGCTAAAAATAAAATTGAAACTAAGCATGGTAGTTGCAACAGTAGTTACTCAGTCAGCAATTGACCTAAAGTTCAGTCAATCCTCTGTCAGTAAAAGCACATAATTAAAAGTATGTACACTGCAAAAAAGCTTGACCAAAATTTAAGATATAAACTCATAAATCTATCAGAAAATTAGTTAAAATTAACGAAATTATGAATCCATGCAGCAAGATAATTTCACTTTCACACAAGTTATCTTAAAAATAAACTACCTCTTGACTAGAATTAAGCTGTCTCTGAACTATTAAGTAGATAATAAATCTGAAAACAAGATGAATAACCTGACATAAGTTTTAAAATCTTGGTCAGATCAGACAAATTTGCAGTGTATTGTTAATGGTTAAGGGTTGTTAGGGGTGTGCAAACATATTGAAATATCGATATATCGTATCATTTAATGTGATGATAGAGTATCATGGGTTGCTGTATTGATATATCGCCAACAGTATTTTCTGGTATATTTTACAAAATTATTTTATATATATGTAGTACTACAGTTATAGTACTACAGTTTTGTTGCTTGCTCAGAGTAAAGAAACTCATTTATGCAACACATTTGACATATTCACTGTTTTTGTTGATTAAAATGCGTGTTTCACATTAACTTTGCAAAAGAAATGGTTTAACAAAGACTTTTAGTATCACAGCCATGATTTAGCCTTTATTTTTACTGAACCCTATCAAATCGATTTGAAATATATCGTATTGAATCAAAAGTGCATTATATCAAGATATGTATCGTATCGTGGCCCATGTATCGAGGTATGTATCGAATGTGCAACTTCTTAATGATACCCAGCCCTATTGTTAATGTTCAAGAAATTCACACTGAAACCTTTTTTTGTATTTGTTTATAAAATAGACAAAAGATAGTTGAATTGGAAATTGTGATCGATCAATATGACAGAATTTGTTTTTGTGAAATTGCCCGACCCTAGTTAGTACCATCCAAATTAATCTCTGCATTTATTCAGTTATAATGCATCTATACTGAAAGCTTGCATGACAACTCCCTGCTCCCCTCTCCTCTGCTCATGTCTCTATAATAACCATATGTTTACAAGAAGAGAGCACTTGTAAAGCCACGCTCCCTCCAAACGCCTACAGCTCTAACCCTGTATAATGTCATAGAGATAGTGTTATTCACATCTTAACAATGGACCCAGGCATCCACAGTTTTCAATTAGGTTTTTAAACTCATGTGACAAAACTGAAAAGCAGCATCCACTATTCAGACTAAAGGGCAGATATTAGACTATTTTCTGATCTATGTTGTAATGTTGTATTGTGTTTTCTTTCGTTCACACATGTTTAACACACAAACCCTGCAATAACTACTAAACAAAAGGTAAAAAGTAACTATTAACCTAAAAACTACCACTTTATGACATCATAAGGTGGAGGATTTTGAGCTTTGGGGGTGTAGACAGACTTATTACTCAAACATGTTTTAATGACAATAACAGAACACAACTCCAGATTTGTTTTTGATGAGGTAGCACCATTATAACATGACTTAAAGGTGTATTGTGTCACTTTTCTGGTGGATGGTCTGGCACCTTCTTTTGTACATAGAGATGTTATTGCTTTCTCTAGACTGTTCCACAGAATGGCCTTAAACCTTCTATCATTACGGAGACCAAACCAGGCCAAGTTACAGGTCAGATTTGTGGAAAGGCAACCCCACTGACAATCAGAATATCTGTTTTTTTGACCAATTTGACCAATTTTTGACCAATAAAGCCACCTGTAAATAAATAAATACAAGGTAGATCTAGTTAATGTCATAGTGTGGAACATTCCAAGAAGAGTAATGACATTTCCATAGAAACAAAAAGGTGACAGACCCTTAACAGAAAAGTTACACAATGCACCTTTATGGCTCCCAAAGGTTTATTTTACCTGATATAAGACCTTGAGCAGCGTTGTCAGGGTTAGTCGGGTGTTGTAACTTTGAGATATGAAGCATGCAGTCAGACTAAGAGCAAGCAAAGAAATAACAATTCAATTTCATACACAGACGCTTGTGAGTGGGTCATATCTACAGACTGGAGTGATTTGTGGAGAGGCTGCATGCTGTTTAAGAAATGATTAAGGACTCTAATGCGTAAATAAACAAGAGCTGCTGGTACAGTGGAGGGTTTAGCAATCACAAGAGTGAAGACATATTTAAATTCAGGAGGTTGTAGCAATGTTGTTGTGGTAATAAACAGCAGTGGTTGCGGGTTAGATTTCTTAGTATATTCAAATTATCTCTGAGAGTTTAAGCCAGCCTTCCTCAATTATAGAGTCTAATTTTCTTGCCTAAAATCTTATGAAAGAGTTGAAATTTTATATTTTTGCTCACAAGTTATCAGCCACTAAGTGCATTGTTCAAAAAGACTTTGTGGGTGAAATAAGGGGTAGATATTAAATAAAAAGATAAAGTTAAAGGTGTACTGTGTAACTCTGGTAGGATCTGTAATGTTCCACAGTATGGCATTACAGTTATTTATCTCTAAGGAGACAGCAGGTGACACCACAGGGTTAAATGTCAGATCTGAGGAGAGCCCCAATAAAAACCCATGTTAATCAGTAAATGCAAGATTGATACGTTTAATGTCATTTGTTGTAGAAATTGTGAAGAAAAAAAAACAAAACTCTAAATGAACCAATTCTAAAACACGAGTCAAAGGAAGTCCTCATTTGGAGAACTAACAACCCTGTGATCATGTGAGGCTTGAGGAAATGCCTTTATCTCTCACACACAGACACACACACACATTAACACTATCTCTTTTCTCTTATGTTTGTGCATTCATAAAGTCTTGACTGAATCCTCTCTTAGGCTGCACCTCTGGGGCAGCTGCAGGGTCAGAGTCTGCTGACAGAGGAGGGACTATCGATTGTTATGGAAAGCTCATATTCTTCTACAGGACAGAACCATGGATCTATAGCACCGGGACAGCCTGCTATCTTGTTCAGGACTAAAGAGGATTTTATTAAATTAAAGCCCAGATCAAATTACGATGGTTCAATAAGAACTTCAAAATGGGAAGAATGGGAAGACTGTTCATATTTTAAAAACAATTCCATATTTTAAAACGTAATTGTTGGATTACGTAAACATACATCATCAAAACCATGTGCCAGTCTGTTTTTGTTCTTTTTTCAGTTTGTATTGTTTTTTCTCTGTTAAATTTGTGGTGTTACCTGTCGAGGGACTACAGACGGAAATTAGCATTCTTGCTATAATCTGTCATATTTACACTGCAGTGTTGTAGATGTTCATTAATATGCACTGACCCTATTAAATAAATAAATAAATAAATAAAAATAAACTGACAAGCAGTCGTCACTTTCACTGTTTAGGAAAAATAGGTCCAAGTTTTCACTCATCCCACAAGCAAAATACAATTTCTGAACTCTTATGTTGTCAAACTGTGCATAAAGCTCCAAATAAAGGTTCTTTTTAACAGACCAGTGTGTTGTTTACACATACCTTGACATGTTTCGGATGCCTTCTGCTTAAAGCTACCATTAGTAATTAGACTGACCGACCCGCCCCTGTTCTGTTCTCACGTAACACCACTAGAGGCTGTCTACTTTACTGCTGTCTAATAGTGTGCCAGCTTTTAATGTGCTGTGCATAAAAGTGCAAAAGTGAAGCCAGTCATGTGAATTCACTGCAAAGTAATTTCCCCACAAGGACACATTAAGTCTATCTATAAAAATATACTGCAACTGAAAATAGTGCAGATACTATTGGCCTTGCTCCATGAGAAAGTAGAGGTGTGCAAAAATATCAAAATATCGTGATACAGTATCGCTATTGTGGACTGCTGTATCTATACATCACCATGAGTATTTTGGCATCTTTTTGATTTTTTTTCATAATTTTGTTGCTTATTTAGAGGATAGAAACTTGTTTATGCAATACACTTGACATATTCTCTGTTTTGATGATTCAAATACATGTCTTTCATATTAACTTTGAAGATTATTGTGTGTATATATATATATATATATATATATATACACACATGTCAATATATCAGTATCAGTACAATGTTCAATATATCAATTATCAAATGTATCGCCACATCATGATAATATGATATTATCATGATGTGGCAATACATTCGATCGAATCGTATCATATCAAATTGAGAAGGGCCCTGTGATCCTCAGCCCTAACTGTAAACATATAAGATTATAAGATTAAAGATTTAAAGGTGCATTGTGTAACTTTTCTGGTGGAGGGTGGAGATGTTATTGCTTTGTCTGGAATGTTTCACAATACAGCATTAAATCTGTCTATCTTCATGGAGACCAAACCAGGCCAAGTTACAGGTCAGATCTGTGGAGAGGCAACCCCTTCACTGTCAGAATGCCTGTTTTTCTAGGTATTTTTGAGCTATAAAACCTGTAATTAAATAAACGTAAGGCAGAGCTGTTTAATGTCATACTTCAAAACAGAGCCATGACATTCCCTTAGAAACAAGAGGGCGATAGACCCACTATTGAAACGTTACACAGAGCAAAAGTGTGACTAGTCTATTCCCATGTATGTAAACTTATGATGTACTTACCCTCCCCGACCATGGACACCCCGATGGACATGCCCATAAACTTGCTCTTGGTCCAGACGTGGGCGTTGACACACATCCTGCGCTCTCTGCACTCACAGTAAAACCCAGACACAGGGGGGTGATGGCAAACCTGCTCTGCCACAAACCGCACTTTATATGGTCCACTCTCCTCCCCCTGTGTGTTATTCTGACCCCTGCCTGGCCCCTGAGCACAGCCGGGGTTGTTGGTTCGATTCCCGGTCCTGACTTTGTCCCGTGGTACGTCCCATGAGCAGTGGAATGTCTCTCCGAGGATGGGGTTGTAGGGTTTTTTGGCCACAGCCCCTTTCCGCCCCTCGTGGAAGGCAGTGAGATAGTATTCCACGAATCGGATGATGCGCTCCTCGGCGGTGGTCCCAGAGGTGATGGACAGAAACATGTCGGGATGGGCCATGAAGTTAGCGTACATCTCCAAAAGCGAGCGCTTCTCCAGGATGAACGTCGGCAGAACCACCTGAAGAAAGAGAGAAACAAAATAGTAAGACATGTATACTTCATGTTAAATACAAACAGTTACTTTACATTGGGGATTATGTTAGCTTAACTTGAGTAATTTGCTTGTTTTAAGTATAGTTGTCATTTCTGAGCTTTTCTGGTGAATGCACTGTCAAATTGTATTATGGTTTTTCAGTAATCTTTAGCGGTGTTTGCCAAAGCTACATCTATGGTAACATTGTTTAATTAGACAGTTTTCACTATTCTTAGATCAGTCATTTCAGCAGCAACAGTATAATTTTGGAAAACAATGGCAAATATAGGCTCTACTATCGATAAAAAAATAAGGTACTACATTTCCCAAAACATGCTAATTTAATTTTACTTTTTTTTTGTTCTTGCTGTTAGAAGTGGACTTCAGTTACCAGCTGTTCATAAATTATATAAATAAAATGAAAAAAAGTCAAATGATGTGACTTAAAGCATAAGAACATAATAACAGGTCGCTATAACAATCGCTGTAGCCCGAGTGTACCCGTGTGAGGTCCATGCCCAGTTTGAGCTGTGACAGCAGGTGCAGGATGATGCTCCTCTGATCGTCCAGGACGCCCAGGTCCTCTTCCTCGTTGTCCTCAGAGTCTGTCAGCTCTTCACATGGACTCAGCTCCTCCAGCCCCGACTGCTGCTGCAGACAAGAGGCACACAAAGAGTTACTTCTACAGTTTCAGTGGGACAGGTGAGACCAACAGTGACCTGATGCAAGGTTTATTTTTCATTTTAAGGTGCAGTGTTGCCTTAAACTTATTCTGTTAATACTTTGCAGTGACATCATGCAGGGAGGGTTCTACATGTATATCTATATGGGAATGTTCAGAAATGGCTCTGGTGACACAATGTACACATTAGCAAACACAGCCAAAAAAAAGTTTTAGAACAAAACCCAGAATGGATTCAAATTACACATTTTCAGGAGTTAATTTGAAAACTAACACTGCACGATATCACAAGGTGGAAGAGCTTTTTGAGGTTTGGAGATGTAGACACAATACCAAGTATGTTTTTAATGAGGAAGCAACATTCTAACATGGCTTGAAGCTCACAAGAGTCAATTTTGTGTAATATAAGACCTTTAAAATTCATCCAGTGTAATAAATGCAATTTAGAGTAAACCTAATGTCTCATTCATGCTAGTTTTGTCCCAGTAATATCATATTTACTTCACAAAGAAGAGAGTTTGAATGTTATAAATGCCATAATTGTACTGGACATTTTGAAGACCCCATTTGAGTGGCTAATGTGAAAGATTGAGAGAAGATAACTGAAAGGACAGTTTGAAAAGATGATCATTCATGGTCAATTTAGTTTTTACCAAAGAACCAAAGAATCCCCCAAATGAAACAGAATAATCGTTGAATGAAATGAAAAGCCCTTTCAAGTCTCATATGTAATTACAAGCTGTGTGGCCTATAAAAGAAAGTAAAAATATGCCATTTTAGACCAGTCAACACTTGGCCTGGTTTGAAGATAAGGTCAGAGAGCTCATTTGGAGGCTGCTTCAGAAGTGGTCACTAAATACCAAAGATCAGTACCTCATTTATGAAGTCTATTCACCTTTGTCAGACCTTTTTCTCTCATCTGAAAAATAAACTACAGCTAAAACTTCTTTTAATGGTTGACTGGTTGGCGATTATTTTATTGGCGATTAGTCAGTTACTCAAGTAAGTTCTACCTTACATTTATTCAATTACAGGTGGTTTTATAGCTCAGCAAAACAGACATTGTGACTGTGAGCAGGGTTGCCTCTCCACAGATCTGACCTGTAACTTGGACTGTATGGTTTGGTCATGAAGATAGAAAGGTTTAATGTCATACTGTGAAACATTCACACCTAAAATAAAATAAAATAAAATAAAAATATGCAAACTAAAATAGACAGATTTTTTTTTTGTCTGGGATCCAGAATACACACTTCCTCATGAAGAAGTGAGTCGGGGCACTCGTGAATCTCCCTGTTTCAAATGAGCGTGATTGACAGGGACAAATCAGGGACACACATGGTAATGGAAAAAATAAAATATCACAGGACTGAAAAATGTGGCCAATTTCTGCAGAATCAATGACTGAAACACTAAACTTTGTTGATCTCTGGTGAGATACATTTAATTTTATTTGTAAATCATAGGCGACCAATGACCTCCTTCGTTTCACGTGTCACAGAAAAATCCAAATATGACCAGATGAACGTTTGGCTGGGCTTGAGGTGCGACAGAGGGTGTGGGGCCAGACAGATATTGATATGTAGAAAAAAAATAATACAGAGAGAGATCAGTCTGGTTTTCCAGGAAAGAAGACTTTGTTTAGGCAGGCAGGTTAAAGGTAGCCTGATTCATCAGCTGGTTTCACTTCGTAGAAACCGTCCGACCTCGCAACATTAGAATTCGTTTGCTCGATGGTAGGTGGGTACTTTTTTTTTATTAACCAATCACTGCTATTTGGTTGTGACATATGTAATGCGCCGCTAATGGGGCTAACTGGTACTTTAAGCTTTTCTCAAATCCCCTAAGAAGAAGGACAATAACGTCCTTCCCCTTGATAAAATTCACCAAACATTCTCTGTGTTCTGGCTTTAAATCCTCGATCTCGGGAATCGTTGCCAATACAGAATGTATGGCTGGCTAGGTTAAAGGTGCACTGTGTAACTGTTCTAGTGAAGGGTCGGCCACCTGCTTGTCTTCATGGAAATGTTATTGCTTTGTCTAGAATGTTCCACAGTAGAGATTACATTTTCTCAAAGGAGACAACAATAGGCTACATTAAAGGTCAGATCGGTGGAGAACTCTATTCACACAGAAATTTATTGTATTTTTGAGCAATACAAACACCAGTAATTAATAAATGCTAGATAGATGTGTTTAATGTCATACCATGGAACATTCCAGGCAAAGCAATAACACCTCTATGCATTTAAATGTCATTTTTGCAGCTAAGTCTCATTAGCTTCAATAAAGGCTACTTTTTATATGTAATATCTGAGACCAAATGTATCTTGAAAAGTCATGAGCTTTTTCCATATCGGGAACCAGGATGTGCCCATTTGATGACATGAGGATCCAAGTAAATTAACAATCTGAGGAGAACTAATGCAGTAACTATTAGTACCACTTACTTTGCCAGTATAGACAAGGAAATATATTTTTACTAATTAAAATGAATAATGTATACAAATCATTATGCAATTACTCCTCCCCTATGCTTAGACTTGATATTAAATTTACAATAAATACTAAAAACAAGTACAACACAAGGAATTGAGCCAAACTTCCATATTGTACGTAGGCATTTGTGTAGGAGGGAAAATATGGGCCGGAAATTTCCAGGCGGAGGGGAGCGGCTGCTTGTCACCTGAATATTTTATTCAGTTCATGCCAAAGCGGAGCTTGTGTTCACATTAGGGCACACAGTGTACAGCCAAACTCAGGGGAGAAGAGAGCAGCTACAGAGGAGAGTGAATGTAGGTCTGAACTAACAGTCATGTGTAAGATTTAAAGGGCCCATATTACGCTATTTTACTGATCTCTGTTATGTTTTTCCTTTATCACAAACATACCTGGAGTTGTGTTTTGTTTCATTCACCATGTTTAACATACAAATCCTGCATATTTAGGAAAACAGAAAACACTCCCAGCACCTTGTGAGTGCTGTGTGTGTTTTCTGTTCCTAATGTGGTAATACTGAAAGTGCTCCACTGTATTTAAACTCCATACACCTTCACTAAAATTATTTGGATAATTTCAGCCCTGGAATTGACAATACACACAATACACAAAAAAGCATTTTGAGCTTTGGAGATGCAGACATAATAATAATAATAATAATAATAATAATAATAATAATAATAATAATAATAATAATAATAATAATTCCTAAAAAATGAAAATTTTAAATTACTTGAGTAAATATACTATGAGCTATATGGCAAGTTAGAATACTCATCTATCTATTAATGCAAGGAACATCTGTGTGTGTGTTTGTTTGTGTGCTGTGTCTGTTCCATGCATCACTCTTGAACCGCTCATCCGACCGATCTCAAATTTGGATGATGTCGTCCTAATGGGAGCATTTGTGCATTGCCAATTTTCATGCTGTTACAGCAAAAAATGCCAAAAAATGCCAAAGATCTCGTAAAATGAGTCACAAAGACTTACATTACTAGATAGATGTTCATGGCAGTTTTGGGACCCCATCACAAAACAAATGCCATGTTATGGCAAGAAATTCTTTCTTGTAAGCTCCAAGGTGCTTGTTTCAAATAATTTGCATAGAATGTGACCTTGTTTATTTATAATTTTGAGGAAGTTGATATTTTTACTTCCTGTTTGACCACAGGAAGCAGTGACAAAATATTTCCATAATTACCCAGCCGCCATATAAGTAAACAAAACCTAAAGCTCGCTGTATTTACACAAAAGTTATGTTTTGACAAATAAAACTACGACAACATCTATATTTTGTCTGATAGTTATAGCTTAAAAATGGTAAAACAGTTTGCTTGCTTGACGTCATTGTAGACCTTTCCTATAATGAAGGATATCTTGGCACAAAGATCCTGAGTAAAACTATGTCCTGTTACTTAATGAGTGAAGAATGTTTTTGTTGTGTGTGTGTGTGTCTGCGTGTGTGTGTCTGCGTGTGTGTGTGTGTGCGTGTGTGTGCGTGTTAGGAGGCTAAAGCTAACATTAAGGAGGAAGGTGGTTTGTTTTGAATAAAATAAAGGCAGTTTTAATTTAGACAATGCTTATTTCACTAAATTAAACTGGGATGAACCTACACAGACCCAATAACTAGAGAAAACCAGGAATTATCAAACTCTAGAGTACTAGATTTACTAGAGTAAATGCTTAAGATACACCACAAACCTTTGTCTAACAATGAACCTGATACAGAAGGACTTAGCATCTTTAGTAGTGCAGTAGTTTTAATCACCTCCACGGTAAGCAAGGCACTGAAATAAACATAATTTTTTTGGAAAAATAGTTACACTTATATAATGTGATACATATTCTGTTTCAATACATAATTTTTATTCACCAGGAGGTTCAGACTGTTCCTATTTCTACTGTTTGTGTACAGGACCAGTCATGTCCCATAGGAAAAGCTTCTGAGCTGACACAAATCCATATGTTATAGCCTTTAAAACACAGTGGTCTCAAACTGTGGTACACGTAAGAGGTCAGCCCTATGTTCCCTCATTTCTAAAATTGTTCTTATTTCTAAGATTTTTCTCAAAATGAAACTTTAATTTAAATACATTTTTATTTCTATATCGCATTTAAATCGATGATTCAGAGTCATTTCAACCTAGGCTCCTTTGCACCATGACCTCTGCATTACATCTGTATTCAACTGCTGCTGGAGAATAGGTTGGGTATAACCGACTACCAAACTTGGAGAAATGAGGATAAAATCTGATGCAAATCAATGATAAAGGAAATGTGGGAACATAGGGCCTATTTTTGGAAGAAAAAAAAATTAAAACTTAGAAATGAGGGAATATAAGGCTGTGGGAACATAGGCATGCTCCCGGGCATACGACAGCATCACTCAATGATTATACCAATTTTAATTATGGCTTATTGGTTAAAATCCAATTTAGTAGACAGCTGTTGTAATAGACAAAGGCAGTTT